AGGATACCCAGCTAATGGTAACCCCAAGCTGATAGAAGATGGGGGACCTTGGCAAAACATTTCAGAATGATCTTGGCAGAATTACTTCTTCTGAAAAAAAAATTTTCTGATTCTATGCAGAATGTTTGCTTTTCTTTACATTTTAATTATTAAAAAAAGTTAAGAGGGAATTATAAAGTAACCATCTTTGGAAAGAGATCATTTTTGCCAATGAATATATACATACTTGATAACCCTTATGGGATTTCTGTGTGTATCTTGGTGTGTATCTACTGATTAACACTTGGAGTGTCTGCATCTCCTCATGGAAGTAGTGTGACAAGTATTTGTTTTATAATTTCAGGTAGAACACTGAGGAGGTCTCTAGTTGTCTGTGACTCTTATATTCTGTAACAGTCTCTAGACTGCATGGATCCTCTTTGTTATTGGAGGCTATTACTGCTTTTTGCTTTTCCCCCCCTGTCCTTTGAAACTTTCTTCAAATTCAGATTGTCTAATTGAAATTCAAATTTCAATTCAAAGCCATGGCACTAGAAAAACTCAAATATCTGAAAGAATAAAAAGATATCCGAAATATGTTAATATGCAGGATTGACTCACTCTAATACCAAAGAAATTATTTAGCCTTGGTTTCAAAATTTTATTTATAAAATGATTGAGTAGCTTGTGTTCTGGGTCATGTATCATAGCTTATTTAGCCATTCCTCTATTAAGGTTATTTCCAGGGTTTTCCTATCACAAGTACTGTTGTAGTAGTGCATTTCGAATAGAGAGATTTAAAACTTTTTTTTTTGTGATATTTAATATTTAATTAATATGCTGTTCTTTATGTTAAAGTGCAGTGGTAACATTATTACCTTATTGTATAAATACAAAATTGAAAACAAGTCTAAATAATTTCCTTTAGGAGGATTCTATCCTACCTTGGTATAATGTGGATGTCTTTATTCTTCTGTGTTTTTGAACATTCCTAGTGCCATGGCTTGCTTTCTTTCTAGGTAGGCTTTATAAGTAATGACCTTTGAGACTTAGCTGGGTTTAAAATGAAACATTTTGATGTCAAGGGTTGCTTTTACGGTCACCATTTTTAGTTTTCTACTATATTTTTGGAAGCAAAAAGAGAAAGAAAAGTCTTTTCTAGATCCAAATTTTAAGATGATAGTAGGGGATGGAAATTTGAATTTAAAAAAAAATGTTTGATGTAATAAAAAGTGAAACACTGTGATTGTCTTTGCACTTTAGTCCTTTTTACCAGAGTGAGATGATTTTAGCAGTTCCAGGTTTTCCTTTACAGATGTTTAATATGTAAATACAGTTTTTGTAAACTTTTTAAAAAGAACACAAAATTGTACTCTACATGGAGTATTAACTTATTCTCTATTAAGAAATATGACATATAAAGTATTTCCCTAAAATTATAGGATTTAAGATACACATGCTTCTTTTAGAAAAGCACTGACCCTTTGAAATACCCCACTACTCTACTCAGGGATTTCAGTATGTAGCCATATATAACCTTCAGACTTTTGGATTCCTTACCCTGTATCAAGAAGGCCATTGTGGCCAGGCATGGTGGCACATGCCTGTAATCCAAAGGGCTTAGGAGGCTGAGGCAGGAGGATTGCAAGTTCAAAGCCAACCTCAGCAACTTAGCAAGGCCGTAACCAACTGAGCGAGACCCTGTCTCTAAATAGGGGATGTGGCTCAGTGGTTAAGCACCCCTGGGTCCAATATCCTGTAAAGACCCCCCCACCCTCCCCGCACCCCGCCCTCGTGCCCCACTCCCAGCCATGGCCAGTGTGTGTAGCCCGCTTGATGCTGGCATTTATAGGAGATGTTGCCTTTCCTATTCATTTTCACAGTCAAAAAACTGGGTGATGCTTTAAAGGAGGGAAGAAAGGCATGTGTAACACTCCCCCCCCTTTTTTTCAATGTTAGTGCTGTAAGATTTTTAGGCTTTAAAAATTTTAGTTTTAGTTTGTAAGGCAAGTTAAACATGAAAATGTTATAATTGAAAACTAAAGATAACAATAAAATAACATTGTAACTTGATTGTCTTTCAAACCCAGTTCCTTTTCCACAAACAAGTAGTTAACAATTTGGTATGGGTCCTTTTAGATATTTTCCTTTTTTCTTTAATATAAGTAAATATGTATGGAGACATGAACATATAGAAATAAAATTTTGGTTTAGTACTGTGAGTTTTTAACATGTGATCTTATTTCTCTATAATTTATTGTTTCACTGAATCTGTACCCTTGATCTTTTTGTGTTGGTACATTTAGATCTACTTACTTTTTTTTAAGGTCTGTTTTTCAAAATGTCATAGTGTTCCTTAGTACACTATGTGTACTATGTGTTCCTTAGTGTATCTTCCTTTTATTGACACATTTTTGTTCCATGTTTTTCATTATTAGGCATCTGCTACAATGAAAATAAAGAGTTCAGAGAGGTTGAATGACTTGCCCCAGGCTTCACAGTGTCTAGTGGGAGCAAGCTGGGTAGAGCATGAGAGATGTTGATGAGCACCCTGTTTTTACATTCCAGTTTTTGCACATATGGAAATATTTTTCTATGATAGATGTTTAAAGGTCAAAGGGTATTTTTTTTAAAACTAAACATAAGGTAGTGATAAAATGTGAATTTATTATAAAATAAATAATAGATTGCCTAACAAACTATTTTCAGTGTTAACTAAGTAGGGTTGTTAGTAGATCTCAATATGTAAGTATGGTTGCAGAGAAATAAATGATTTGTTTGTCTGAAGGTGAGAGTTAATTGTATTGTTTTGCTTCCTATCCTGGCAGTTGTGCTGGCTAAATGAAAGTTTAAAACGGGAACCGTTAATTCCTTTTGGAATAGACAGTATGCTGCCTCTCAGGATACAATTTCTGTCTCTAGGAGAGAATTTGTCTTTTGTACCTATATGTGCTTAGGAATCGGATGACATGCTGTTGTTGAAGGCTAGCTAATGGTTTTATTTAGAGTGTGACTTCGTTAGTAGTTGGTAATTAATAGCTACTCATTCTTGGGCTTTTGGCATTAGGTTTGGTTTCCTGCTTGGCCTTTCCTTATTTCTAAGGAAGTGTGAAGAACTATGAAGCCATTTGATTAAACATATATACTGTTGTCTGCCTTCCTTCATAGTCCATTACATGAAATTGCTATTCTTTTCAGCCTGTTTCCCCTCCTTTAAATGTGGAGCCTTAGCAAGTCATAACTTCTCCCACTTTCCTGTATAAATCAAATATCAGTTTTTCAGAATCATGTACAAGTATCTCTTGATATCCAGATCTCTCTCTTTTTTTTTTTTTTGGATATTAGAAGGTCTTAATATACTGTGCCTGGTTCTGAGTTTTGGGTAACAAACAGTGGAGTTTGGACAGCAGGGAATTTACTTGAAAAATTTAGCAAATCAATTCAGTTTGAGTTTAGATAGTGTGAATTTAGACATTAAAAGTTTGGATAGTGAGCCAGGTGTGGTGGTACACTCTTTTAATCCTCATGGTTCAGGTGGTGAGGCTGAGGCAGGAGGATTCCAAGTTTAAAGTCAGCCTCAGCAATTTAGTGAGGCCCTAAGCAACTTAGGGAGACAATGTTTCAAAATAAAAAAAGGCCTGGAGAAGTGGCTCAGTGGTTAAGCACCCCTGAGTTCAATTCCTGATTAATAGTAATAGTATTAATATAAATTAAAAAAAATAAAATTTGGATAGTGAAGGAAAATTGTGTATAAGATTACTTTGTATATGCTTAAAGAAGGCTTCAAGCTGAAGGTTTAGCACTGTTAAGTTTGGGGCAGGTGTTCCCTTATAGGACTCCTCCAACAGCTCATGCTAAACACTGATCCAGAGCCAGCTACAGCTGATCCTATCTGAACCTAGAATTGAACTTTTTGAGAGAAGGGACTTTGTTCATCTGTGACACACAGTCATGTGTGCTAAGTTCATAATATGTAGTTAATGATGATTATAATATTCTTTTCAAAGTTGTTAGAATTTGACAAGGAAGTTAAAACTGAAATTCTATTCTTTAAAAAATAGTCTGTGTAGCTGGGTGTGGTGGTGCAATGCCTATAATCCCAGCAACTCTGGAGGCTGAGGGAGGAGGATTGTAGGTTTGAGGCTAACCTCAGCAATCTAGCAAGGTCCTATAAAATAAAAGGGGTTGGGAATGTAACTTAATTGTAAAGTAAGTGCTTCTGTGTTCAATCCACAGGACCACACACTAAACAAAACAAAACAACAACACAAAATTTACAATAGATATTACAAAAACATGCTTTTTTTTGTTGTATTAAAGAATGGAACAAAATAAAAAGATTGATAAAGATGAATTTTCACACCTGAAAGGTAGAATTTCCCTAGAGTTTAAAATTTTGGTATAGCTTTTCTTTCTTTTGTTTTGGTATCAGATTTGCCTTGATAGATTGCTGAGGCTGGTTTTGAACTTGAGATCCTCCTGTCTCAGCCTCTTGAACCTCTGGGATTATAGGCATGTGTCATCATGCCCAACTTGGCACATCTTTTCTTTTGTGGGAAAATAATAATAATAAAAAAAACCCTAGCTTTCATTGATTTAGTTAATTTATAAGTGAAAATGGTACTATATTTTGGGTCTAAGTGTAATCCAATCGAATATTGCTGTTAGAAGGTGTAAGAGCAAAAAATCAAGAAAGCCTTCCATATTAACATGAAAGTGTTCCCCTCACAACAGGCTTTCATGAATCTCTGACCCTGGAAGTTCTTTCTATTGAGGATAAAGTAACTTCCGCAGAAGACCATTTAAAAATCTTTGCCACCTCTGTTCTTACTATGAGATTTTGAATGGTCTGTGGACTTAAAAAAAACAAAGTATACTTTATAAGGATTATAGTTAGCTCTAAGAATTCTTTTCTTTGAGAGAAAATAGTCTTGTTTTAAAATTTTTTGCCCACTTTGAATGATATACACAGTATGTTCTCAGTATATATCTGTTTCACAATAATAATGATTTGTTTTTAGGGTCCTGATGAAGAAGCTGTTGTGGATCTTGGCAAAACTAGCTCAACTGTAAACACCAAGTTTGAAAAAGAAGAACTAGAAAGTAAGTTTGTTAAAATAATATGCTTATTAGCAGCTGAAATTACTGATTGTTTGTTCTTTAAGTTTTACCTACTGTTTCTTGAGACACTTTTCTTTACTCTTGTGGGGGAGAGCATACATTTAGAAGAGGGCTGGACACATTTTCAGTATAATGTGTAGAGTAACAGTGTAGCAAACACCCATGCAGCCACCATCTGTGTGTAGAAATGGAACATTCCCTGATTATTTATTTGCTAGACAGACTCTATCATGGCATAAGATGGATTTCAGAGAGCATCTCAGACCTCACCGATCATTATTATTACTTGGAAAACTGAATGGCCACAGATATAAAATCAGTTAATTCTATTGTCTCATTTCTGACTGACTGGGTAATTTGAATTATGAGCATGCTGGAGTGCCCAACTAATAAGCCACAGTTATTATTAGTTGTCATCTACATGCTTATTTTATAGGTCTGTTACATCAGCCTCTTAAAATGCTATAGTAACCCCTGTGCAAAATTGTTGAGCAAGGGAGTTACTGGTCCAGCCACTTTCTCTAGGCAGGAAGAAATAATTTTAGATACACAGAGCAGCTGCCAAGATAGTACAGGCCACTTCTATAAGCACTTCACCTGGGTTCTCCCAGTATCAGGAGTGTTGATTTTTGCATATTCAGTGTACATTAGTGAAAGTATAGAAATGAACTAGGTTAATTACTAACTTAATTAGTAATTGGTTAACTGCTAGTTTACTATTAACTAAACCATAGATTTTATTTAGAATTCATCAATTTTTTTCCCATAATTTTTTTTTTCCTCTCTGTTCCAACATCCAGTTCAGGATTCAACCATACATTTAGTTGTTATGTCTCCTTAGTCTCTTAACAGTTTTTCTTCTTTCCTTGTCTTTCATGACTATAACACTTTTGAAAAGGAGTGGTAAAATATTTTGAACAATGATCTTCAGTTTTGGTTTGTCTGATGTTGTCACATGAATAGACTGACATGGATAATGTACTGTAGAAGGAATGTGCCCATCTCCGTGCATCATGTCTGTGAGCATTGCAGCAACATGACTTATTGATGATGTCAATGTTGAACTTAAGATTAAGTCGCTGTTCATAGAAAATGTTTTGATAGACATTTTTGGGATCTCTTTAGGAATTGCATGTTAAAATCTGAGAGCTGGTTGTATACAGACTGTTAATCTGTTGCTTTTAAGAAGGAGGTGGAAAGAGACAAACAAGAGTTCTCATTTACACCCTGAGATTTATTTATTTTCAAATAACTTTAAAAGTCTAGGTTTAGTAGGGCTTCTGTGAAGAAGGAGACAATCTGTAACAGAAGACACTGAAGACAAAACGAAAGCAGAAAAAGCAATAAGGCCCAATCTTCTAATCTTTGGATTTCGGTGTATTCTTATCTGGTTTATCTGGCCTTTCTGAACTGCAAACTCGTAGAATTTATTTTTATCTTGGTGCATTGTGGCTTGTGTGCCAAGACCCATTAGTACTAATTGGAGTAACAACTTTATAATTCCCAGTGCACAGGGATAGGAATTTTACTCTTTAATTTCTATTCTTCTTGGTATTCAGAAGGAAATATTTATTTTCACTGAAGTAAAATGGTGAAGTCACTGAATTTTGCCATTGTTTCTTTGCTGAGGTATAATTCTTATGAAGTGGAATTTACCCCTTTAAAGTATGCTCTTCATTGTTAATATCCACTGTGTTGTGCAGCTGTCACTGCTTTGGTTCCAGGAAATTTCTGTCATTCCCCAAAGAAGTCCTATATAAATAATTTTGAAATTCAGAAATTTCTGATAAAATTTTATTTTTAATAATTTGAGATTTAATTTCTATACAGATTTATCAGATGCTTATTACTATGTGCTAGGGAAAGTGCTGGCTCAGCTTCCTGAATAGCTGGGATTACAGGTGCACACCACTATGCTTGACTGCTTATGCACTTTATTGACATTAATGTATTGCCAACTGAAAAAGAATGTTGCCTTTTTTGCCTTGGCTGGAAACATGAACCTTAGGCAACTACCCAAACTTTTTGCTACTCTGTGTGTGTCCACAGATGAATTCAGTATCTCTATAAGTATTGATTTTGGGGTTCCAAGGAAATTTTAGTCATCAAATTTACAAATATAGAATGAATGACTGATAAATACTTATTTCTTCATCATCTTAATGGAATTTGTTAGGAGAAGAATATCATTAAATTTATTATTTCAGCATATTTAAAATTTTGTATATAAAGGCAAAAAGTAACTATATCAGATGTTTTTTGTGACTCATTAGTTCAACTTGTTGTTTGTGTCCCTCATTTTAGGGGAAAGGGATGGGGTTTGAACCTAGGGGTTCTACTACTGAGCTGTATCCCCAGCTCCCCCCATCCTTTTTTAAACGAAAGGGTCTAAGTTCTTGAGGATGGCCTTCATCTTGTGGGTGCCCTGGCTCAACTTTCTGAGTCACTGTGAGCCACGGAACCTGAACCTTGTCCCTCTTTACTCAACACAACTTAGATAGGAACCTCTCTTATTAAACTTTTCAAAGAAGTCATATCCTTTTCTCTCAACAGTTGACATACTGCTACTTGCTCTTTTGTTCCCTGATTCAGTTTCTTTTAGTGAGTGAAAGCAGATACTGCCTTTCATAACTTGGTTTTCTTGGTTAAAGTGTAATCAGGATCATACAATATTAGTAGTAGCTTTTTCTGTCTTAACAGTATACAGTAACTGCATTGCTTTTTATCCGACAGTTTCTACCCTTTAGTTGGAGTGTTTGGATCATTTACCTTTGATACAATCCTTAGTAATTTGGATCTTTATCCAAAACATCTAAAATAAGTTAATATTTATAATTATTAACATGTCAAATGTATTGAAAAGTATTTAATAATCAATAAATGTACCCTTCAAAGACCTCTATTAATTAGGTTAGCTTTAAATGTCGAATAAACTTATGTTTGTATAATATTATTTCATATGAGCTTAGCTCTTCTTTCTCAAAGTATCTTTTTAGAGGTACAAAATAATGCTTATTTACATAGATCATCTATATATCTTATAATAATTAGTGGTATTACCCCTTGGGCATAGCATTTTGTGTAGTACTCTGTAAAATAAGAGGGGTAACGAAGACTCTCATTGTTAGTTTTATGAACTTTTAAATAATTCTTTGTTAACAGTAAATTTTGGTGCACTTTTATGAATGCCAGCACTTTTCTCTTTTGGAAACCATCAGTTTGTTTTTGAATCTTTTAATAGGTCACCGAGCTGTGTATATTGGAGTTCACGTCCCATTTAGTAAGGAGAGTCGGCGGCGGCACAGGCATCGTGGGCACAAACATCACCACCGGAGAAGGAAAGATAAAGAATCAGATAAGGAAGATGGACGGGAATCTCCTCCTTATGGTAAGAGAAAACAGTTGATCTATTAACAGTTTGAATTCTTATCCTGGAAAGTATCTTAACTTTTTAATTGAACCCATTCTTTTAAAAATTGTTTATCTGTAGTAATTTAGCCACATTATGTACATTGGAGATACCAATTACAGAATTTTCTTTGAACAAGAAAGATATTTGGTTAATAGGTGAAGATCTTGGTATAAATGAAAAAATTAAAGGTGGAGGGCTTTGTTTTCTTCATTGTTTTTCAGCCTTGGCATAATAAAAGGTGGGCTTTGTCATTTAACTTTCAATTTAGGAGGATTTTATATCCTTTTCTCTGCCATATATTTAATTACTTGCATATGTATTGAACAGACATCTGGAATACCAAGGTTCCTTACAGGAACCTTAAGTCCTTTTAAACCATAATTTTTGGCTAGAAGCTTTTATTCATGAGGCTACATTACTTGATTATCTGCTCCGAAAAGAGTGCTCTCATTCGACAGTATTGTCTATGTAGAAGAATAGGGATTCATTTGTTACATAAAAGCAGAGAATTATGCAAATACTAACAGAAATCAGATATAGATATAGATGTAAAGGAAAGAGAATGTTAATCTCTAATGTCATAGGGATTGAATGTGGTAATTTAAGTGGCCCTGAGGCTCAGTGGGAAAGAAGAGCCCCAAAGCAATAACTGTGCAGTTTGTAGGCTGTTATGGGCCCATGTGGCCATGTCTACACTATAGTCTCAGTGAGTGCTTTCTAGTAAAGCTATGTGAGCTGTACCCTTACAGGCACTTGTGTGCTATGCTAAAGCAAGGTTTTTGTGAAGAACCATAAAATGAAAAAGTTACCATGTATAATATAGCTACGACATGAACATGAGACAAATACTGATGGCCTAGTAAAATAATGGCATAATTTGGCGTGAACATACTTTATAAACAGTTACGAAAAATTGTGCTGTATATGGGTAGTAATGAGTGTAATGCATTCCACTATTGTCATGTATTTAAAAAAAAATTCAGTTGCAAACATTCCACCTATCCTTTGACATGTGCTATTATTTAATTTTTGCAATAGAGTTGTTTTTTGTTGTCATTTTGAGGTGCCAGGGATCTAATTCAGGGCTTCATACTTGCTAGGTAAGCACTCTACCACTGAACTACACCTTCAGACCTTTCTCATCAGTTTTAAAAGATAGATATTATGCATTTTATAGATTAGGAAACTTTAGAGAGGCTAAAGATATTATGCATTTTATAGATTAGGAAACTTTAGAGAGGCTAAATGACAGGCATCTCTTTAGAACCTCTAAGAGACAGTGATGACCTAATAAAATATTAAATGGTCTTGTAATCAGCAAAGGCCATGTAACTGGCAAAGGGAAAATGGATACCATTTAAAAAGAATGGCTTGTGAACTTTAATATGAAGTAATTTTAGAAATATTTCACTGTTCCATATGATGTACCTGTCCAGTTTAGGATATCTTAGTGTCATCTGGGAGAGGATCAGTAAACTTCTACAATTCATACTGAATAAAAGGCACATAATATTTTTATGAATGGAAATACTTTTTTACTAAACTGTGTTTACATGTTCACTAAGGTTGGTAACTTGATTTTTCAAGCAATGATATGGGATTAAATGTCTAAGTATAGTGGTTTGAAAAATAAATTATGATGTTGGAAGTTTTTGACTTTTTTTTATAGTAATTATTCCTAGAAAAGATATATGTCCCTGAAGTGGATTTAATTATTAACTACCAATTTGTGTCCTCTTTTAAAGTGCTATGAATGATGTCCCTTCTTTCTTATTTCTAAAAAAAGATTACACAGGACTTTTTTTTTTTTTTTAATTTTTTATTGTTGGTTGTTCAAAACATTACATAGTTCTTGATATATCATATTTCACACTTTGATTCAAGTGGGTTATGAGCTCCCATTTTTACCCCATATACAGATTGCAGAATCACATCAGTTACACATCCATTGATTTACATATTGCCATACTAGTGTCTGTTGTGTTCTGCTGCCTTTCCTATTCTCTACTATCCCCCCTCCCCTCCTCTCCCCTCCCCTCTTCTCTCTCTGCCCCCTCTTACACAGGACTTTTGATTGTAGATATAATGGAATAAAAAGGACTGACTTTTCTCTTCCATTTTATTTTGTACTTTATCCTTTTTGTTATTTTCCCACTGGTTCTTCTGCCACTAGCTTTAGTTTTTATTTTTACTTTTTTTAAAGGAACATTTTAAAATATTCTAATTAGTTTTATACATGACAGTAGAATGCATTTTGACACATCATACATAAATGGAGTATAACTTCTCGTTCTTCTGGTTATTTATAATGTAGAGTTACACTGGTCATGTGATCATATATTCACACAGGGTAGTGATGTCTAATTGCTTCTATTCTATTTTCTACCCCCATATTTCCCCTCCTTTTATTTCTCTCTATCTAATCCAAAGTACCTCTGTTCTCCATGTCCCCATTGTGAATTAGCATCTGCATATCAGAGAAAACATTCATCCTTTGGGTTTTTGGGATTGACTTTTTTTGCTTAGCATGTTATTCTCCAGTTCCATCCACTTACCAGAAATGTCATAATTTCATTCTTCTTTAAGTCTGAGTAGTATTTCGTTGTGTATATATACCACAATTTCTTTATCCATTCTTCTGTTGACGGGCATCTAGGTTGGTTCCATAGTTTGGCTGTTGTGAATTGAGCTGCTATAAACATTGATGTGGCTGCCTCACTGTAGTAGGCTGATTTTAAGTCCTGTAGGTGTAAAGCTACAAGGGGGATATCTGGGTCAAATGGTGATTCCATTCTAGGTTTTCTAAAGAATTTCCATACTGCTTTCCATAGTGGTTATACCAATTTGCAGTTCCACCAGCAATGTATGAGTGTACCCCTCACCAGCTTTAATGAGGTATAATTGACAAATACAAATTATATGTATTTAAGATATATGGATACATTGTCAAATGATTACCACAGTCAAGTTAATTAGTATATTCTCATGTCACATAGTTGCTTTTTTGTGTGTGGTGAGGACATTTAAGGTCTACTTTCTTAGTAGACTTCAAATATTCAATTCAGTTTTATTAACTGTAGTCACCATATTGTATATTAGGTCCCCAGAATTTAATATTCTTGTAACCGGAATTATACCTGACCTTCCATTTTAAATAGATAGAAAACTGGATATAATATATGAAACAAGTTATAGTTATATAATATAGGAAACAAGTTATAGTTCCAGATGTTGGGTAACAGGCAGCACAGGACTGTGATAGCTAAAAGAAGCAAATGAGATTGCCTGAGTTTATTGCCTAAACATAGTTTCCAGGCCACAATACGGGGAGGGGGACCTGCATGGAACCTAGCAAACTCTTAGTAGTCATGGGTTAAAGAAGCCATCGTAACAGAAGTAGAGACAATTTTGAACTCACTGAAATAAAAACACAGTATAGGCAAGTAACTGATGTAGAGTCTTCTCCAGAGGGGATGTGATTCTGATGTATGCATGTTTCTTTCAGCATGGCACTGTGCAAAGTGAGAACTGGAAGATGCACCTGAAGCAGTGCTTGGAGGCAAAATTGTGCCACTTAATCCTTTCATCAGAAAAGGAAGATGAAAGTGATTTAAGCTTTTTTTTTTTTATTGGTTGTTCAAAACATTACAAAGCTCTTGACATATCATATTTCATACATTAGATTCAAGTGGGTTATGAACTCCCATTTTTACCCCAAATACAGATTGCAGAATCATATCGGTTACACATCCACATTTTTACATAATGCCCTATTAGTAACTGTTGTATTCTGCTACCTTTCCTATCCTCTACTATCCCCCCTCCCCTCCCCTCCCATCTTCTCCCTCTACCCCATCTACTGTAATTCATTTCTCTCCTTGTTTATTTTTCCATTCCCCTCACAACCTCTTATATGTAATTTTGTATAACAATGAGGGTCTCCCTCCATTTCCATGCAATTTCCCTTTTCTCTCCCTTTCCCTCCCACCTCATGTCTCTGTTTAATGTTAATCTCTTCTTCCTGCTCTTCCTCCCTGCTTTGTTCTTAGTTGCTCTCATTATATCAAAGAAGACATTTGGTATTTGTGTTTTAGGGATTGGCTAGCTTCACTAAGCATAATCTGCTCTAGTGCCATCCATTTCCCTGCAAATTCCATGATTTTGTCATTTTTTAGTGCTGTGTAATACTCCATGGTGTATAAATGCCACATTTTTTTTATCCATTCATCTATTGAAGGGCATCTGGGTTGGTTCCACAGTCTAGCTATTGTGAATTGTGCTGCTATGAACATCGATGTGGCAGTATCCCTGTAGTACGCTCTTTTAAGGTCTTCAGGGAATAGTCCGAGAAGGGCAATAGCTGGGTCAAATGGTGGTTCCATTCCCAAATTGGCGGCACCAATTTGCAGTCCCACCAGCAATGTACAAGTATACCCTTTTCCCCACATCAAGATTCATTTGGGCCAAAGTTTGATTCTTTGGAAAGATCAGTAAAATTAATAAACATTCTGATCAAGTGAGGGGGAATAAAAATTTTCTGTACTGACACCACTGAAAGGCTAATAAGGAATCATTATGAATGTCTTTGTGCCAGCAAAATGGATAGTTTAGATGAAATGGGCACAATCCTTTATGAATATAAACCACAGGGCTGGGGTTGCAACTTGGTGGTAGAGTACCTGTTGAGTATACATGAGTCCTTGGGTTTGATTCCCCACCACTTCAAGAAAAGAAAGAGAGGAGGGACTAAGGAAGGGAGGGAGGAAACGAAAGAGGATATAAATGACCAAGCTGAAGTGTATAAACTTATTAAAGATATTGAGTTTGTATAGTCGAAAAATATTGTCACAATAAATTTACTGCCAGATGATTTCAGGAACGATTTCAAACAAACATGTAAAAAAAGAACTAATAGTCTTTGCTGGAAAATTTAAGAGAAGGGAACACTTTGTAATTTCATGTTATGAATTCAGCATTACCCTAATATCAAAACTAGACAGATGTTGCAAGAAGGTGAAACTACAGACAAAATACTTCCTGTGATTGTAGATTCAGAAATCCTGAACAAAATAAAAACAGATCTTATCCTGCAATATTTAAAAAGAATAATATGTCATAATAGACAGACCTAGGCTGAATAATGCCTCCAAGATATCTATATGTTAATCTCTGGAACATGTACGTGCTGCCTGAGATGGCAAAAGGGACTTTGCAGACGCAGTTAAGGATTTTGAAATGGGGATGTTATTCTGTATTACGCAGGTAAGCCTGATATAATCATAGGTGTCTTTGGTAATAGAGGAGGTCAGCATATCAGACTGGGAATAGATGTGAGGAAAGAAAAAAGTGGTTGTAGTATTCAGATTTGGAAAAAGTTAAGAGACAGGTTTTCCCCTAGATCCTCTGGAAGGAACCAGCCCCACCAGCACTGTGATTTTAGCTTTGTAACACTCATTTTGGACCTCTGGTCTGCAGAACACTAGTAAGAGAATAAAATTGTGTTGTGTAAGCCACCAAGTTTTTGGTAATTTGTTACGGCAAAAATATGACAGTAATTTGATAACCAACTGGGAGTGTAAGGTTGGTTTAAAATTTAAGCATCTATCAGTGTAAATAAGTAGTACAAAGGAGAAAACTTATATAATAATTTTAATACATCTAAAATAAACCTTTAACAAAATTCAGCTCCCTTTTATGATAAAACTTTAATTAAGCAAACTAGAAATAGACAGAAACTATGTCAAGCTGATAAAAAATAAGACCAGTACTGGGGATTGAACCCAGGGGTGTATTTACCACTGAGCTATAGTCTCAGTCCTTTTTATTTTTCATTTTGAGACAGGGTCTCACTAAGTTGCTTAGGTCCTCACTAAGTTGTTAAGGCTGGCCTGGAACTTGAAATCCTCTTGCCTTAGCCTCCTGAGTTGCTGGGATTGTAGATATGTGCCACCATGCCTGGCCCTGGCCCTTTTTATTTTTATTTTGAGATAAGGTCTCACTAAGATGCTTAGAGCCTTGCTAAATTTCTGAGGCTGGACTCAAACTTGTGATCCTCCTGCCTCATCCTCAGGTGTGTGCTTTCAATATCACTTTTAATGGTGAAAGATTAGTGCTTTTCCCCTATGATTAGGAAAAAGGCAAGATGTTCTCTTTGACCACTTTTATATCGTATTGTACTTGAGCACCTAAAGGGCGTACAGATTGCTATGGAAGAATTTGAATTGTCTTTATTACAGATACAGGATCATACAGGTAGCAAATCCAAAACAGCCTCCCAAAATGTGGAAGGAAGTAATAAGTGAGTTTAGCAAGATTGCAGTCTATAAAATCAGTTCTTTTTCCCTCTGGGTACAGTGCCATTTATGGGCACTGGTAATATTCTTTAAGAATAATTGGCAACAAATGTGCAAGATCTAAATGCTGGAAAGTTCAAAACAGTAGAAAAATTTAGTCATATGTTTTCATTTCTTCTGTATAGGTCCCAGGGTATTCCTTCAGTATGAAGACCATGTCATATACATACTGGAAATTTTTCAGATTGCCTCTCACCTTTCTCCTTATATTTTCCTCTTTCTGGAGCTCTTCTTGTTAGACCTTTATATTCTGTTCCATATTGCTTAACCTTTTGTGTTTTCCGTCTTTGTTTCTCATTCTGTAAAATTTTCTCAGATTCGTCTTTTCCTTTAACAATTCTCTCTGATCTGCTCCTTAACCTGTTGTCATGTCCTGTTTATTACATCTACAAATACCTGGAGGACATTTACTTAGGCTTAAATGTTCAGTGTGAACTCATTTCTCATATTCAGCAGTTTGATTTTTTTTTTTTTTTCACATTGAAAGCCTTAGGCCCCTTAACTGTCCCAAACTAATATTTATGCAAGTTTCTGTCTTTAGGGATCATGTACTACACACATTGTCTATTTCTAGATGTTGTCAGTTGGATATCTGCTTCTTGCAGTGACCTGTCCTACCTCTCAACCCCTAGCTCATAGCTTTGTTTTCCCATGGCAGTAGGGACAGTTAGAAAAGTTAGTTCCTGTATACTTGTAACTTTGAGTTTTTCATTGTTTTTTTACACTAGGAGATTTTCTTTTTTTTTTTTTCTCTTGAACTTAGCTATATTTTATATTATTCTTGACTTTAGCTATATTTAAATGTTCTATCTTGTCTAACATTTCTATTCATTTTAATTGTTTTTGGTACCATGCTTTGAATCCAGGGGCACTTAAACACTAAGCCACATCCCAAGCCTTTTTAAATTTTTATTTTGAGAGAGTTTCACTAAGTTGCTTAGGGCCTTGCTAAGTTTCTGAAGCTGTCTTTGAACTCCTGGTCCTCTTGCCCCAGCCTCCCGAGTCACTGGGATTATAGATGTATGCCACTGCACTTGGCTCCCATTTTGTTGTTGTTGTTGTTGTTTGTTGATGGACCTTTATTTTATCCACTTATTTATATGTGGTACTGAGAATTGAACCCACACTTGCTAGGCAAGCGCTCTACCACTGAGCTAAAACCCCAGCCTTTCCAGGAATTTTTTAAAAAATATTTTTTTACTTGTGATAGACACACAATATCTTTATTTATTTGTGTATATGGAGCTGAGGATCGACCCCAGTGCCTCACACATGTGAGGTAAGCGTTCTACCACTGAGCCCCAGCCTCTGCCCTCCCATGGGTTTTTGATGAGAAAAAATTCCTGACTTTGAGTGTAGCACTCCATGTTTTGGATGTTGCTTATTTTTGTTTGTTTTAGATTAGTTATACATTAGTTTGACTTTTTTAAACATATTATTTCTTCTTTGTAATGGTGATCTTGTGATAACTTTTTTTTTGGGGGGGGGGTCTGAATTGTTGGTCCTAGTTTTCTTCTAAAATTATAATATTTTAATAATCAAAAGAAAATTTTGATGAAATATATTTGTTTATAGCAACTATTTCACTTTGAGAACTGTGAATATATATTTGAGTGAGTGGAGGAAAACTTTGTATTTAAATTTTATTTTGTCAAGATACACCCTCCCAGAGAGTTCAGTTCATCCTTGGTACTGAAGATGACGATGAAGAACACATTCCCCACGATCTCTTCACGGAAATGGATGAACTATGTTACAGAGATGGAGAAGAATATGAATGGAAAGAAACTGCCAGGTAATGCTGCTGATTCTTATATGTTGGATAGATTGTTAAAAATTGACTTGACTTGGTTTCTTTTGATAATAAATATATTAAGTTGAAATTATGGAATATATCAAGTGCTTTAAATTAGTTAACAGAGAATTTCCTTGTCAGTGTCTGGAAATTTATCTTTAATTTTTCTCCTTATTTTCAAATCTGTTTCCTTAACTAACCCTTCATCTATTTATTTATTTATTCAGTAAGTATCCCTTTATTTTATTTTTTTGTGGTGTTGAGGACTGAACCCAGTGCCTCACACCATGCTAAGAGACCACTCTACCTCTGAGCCAGAACCCCAGCCCTAGTCCTTTATTCTTTTAAGTTTAAAATAAGATTAGAAGTGGAAAATATGAAACTCTAAAGTTTTTTTTTTTTTTGTAGGCTGACTTATGATAACTAAAAAAGAAACATTGTGAACCATTGGCCTAATTTGTGAAAATGTGTTTGTAGTGAAAATGTTGTTCTGGGGATGGGTTTTTTTGGTTACTTTTTTCTTTTTATAAATGAAATTGTATGTTTATTAAAGTTCAAAAAATGGAATAGTCATTATTTATAAAGTATTTTTATGTATTATTCTTTTAGATGGCTAAAATTTGAAGAGGATGTTGAAGATGGTGGTGACCGATGGAGTAAACCTTATGTGGCAACTCTCTCTTTGCACAGTCTTTTTGAACTGAGGAGTTGCATCCTAAATGGAACAGTCATGCTAGACATGAGAGCAAGCACTCTAGATGAAATAGCAGGTATTGAAAGGGTATAAAAAGAGAAATAATAGCATTAAGAAAATAAAGTGGCATTTTATACATTTATGTAACTATTCTGTTGAACTTCTGTTCTTCTCAGAGGCAGTAGGAGGAATAGACATATAAATAAAGATACTTTTTTTTGGGTCTCTAAGAAGTTTTGAGATTAGAATGTTAAAATGGACAGACATGACTGTAGTATCAAGAAGAGAGTGACTAATACCATAAGCAAGTATGGAGTCTCTGCAAATTCAGAGGAATGAATTTTTTTTTTCCTTTGTATTTTGGATCAAGGTGTCTAGAGAAGATCCACAGAGAATATTAATTGTACAATTTATTCATAGAATTTGAGTACATGGGAATAAAGAACAGGGACTACAAGAGAAAAAGTGTTCCAAAGGAAGAGGCAGCAGGAGGAAAAGTCTAGGGAAGTATAGATAGATAGGTGTGAATCCCAGAAAAGCCAATTCCATATCTTAAGTAGTGGGAGCTATATTGGGAAAATAAAGATAGATTGTGATGAATTTTGAATTATTGGGGGAAGACAGTTGGGTTTTATCAGGTGTAGGTATTTTGGTGATCATAGTGGTATTTAAGTTTGAGGGCAGTGAAATCCAGAGGGATGCTCAAGGAGTTCTGGCAATAGTGCAGGGTAGCTTTAGATTAGGAAGAGGTTAGAACTGAAGTCAGTCATCCTTTTATTCTCTAGGGATAGACTAAGCTAGAAACAATTCTGTTGGTCAGCTGTGGAAGGTATTGCAATGCAAATGAAAGAGAGATTTAGAGGATAATGTGGAAGTAGAAGTAGAAAAGGATGGTTAGGATATAGCTATTTGGTCACTTAACTAAAATTCCTAAAAATGAAAATGAAGTTCAGAGATAGTAAATTTGATAGTTTGGCTTTCACATTTGATCTTTTTTTTTTTTTTTTTTTTTTTTTAAGCATTTGATCTTCAAGGAAATTATAAACTAACTGGAATTTTTCAGACTAGAATATTTCAAGGTTACTTGATCATTAGATTTAACCATGTGCTAGAAATCTTTAAATTGTAGAAGTTCTTATTTTGTCTTGTACAAATGGTCAAAAATTGAGTTAGGATTAGGAATATTGAATGTATACATATGGGTCTTACTTTGGTTTCTCACTGAACATGTAATACAATGTAAATATAGTATAGTTCAGCGTTTACTTGTATGGTAAACTGTTGTCATTGTGTTATTGTTATAGGTTACCTTCTAGGTTGGTTCCTCCAGTTTTCTTTCAGAGTCATCATTATAGTTGTGATAATTTGACTGTTTAAAAAAATCTCAAATTAGTGCCACTGTTTGAAAATATTTATGCATACTTTGTAAAGTAAAAATAGCCCAGTTACCACGGTGATGTTTAAGGTGGCATTGCCATCAGTCTTCGTTTTTCACATCCCTGTCAGAGCCTGGTTATTCCTCCTCCTAGGAGTTATTGCTTCATGACGTTTTATCTACTTATTTCCTCATTGGTTTTTATACCTCTGAAAGAATGAGAGCAAAAACTTACTTTGCTTTTTATTGTAAACTTCTGTGTTCCCCGCACATTGTGAGCACTTAGTAAATAGTTACTGAGTGAATGTGTCCAGCTATTCATCTACTGGAACAATTTGCAGGAGAAATATGAGATATTTTAATATTATTGTTAATAATATTAATAATATTGTCGTCTTGGGAAGTCAATATTATGAAATACTCAGCTTGGTAGAATTCATTGCATCCATACAGAAAAGCACTTTCCACCTTAGGAAGGCTATTAGTGTAAAACAGTAACTTCTCTGTAAATGTAATGGTTTTTAGTGAAATAAGGGTCGCGGTAATTTATTCATTTTTACTGAATGGGTAATGTTCATATTTATCTTTATGCATATTATCCACTATTAGGAGAGAGTAATACTTCTTGGAGCAATCTAAGGTTCTCATTTTTGTTGAGATTTCACTTTGGAATTTGTTTTTTCCTTTGTTACAGGCATTTCAGGGTTTGCTTAGCCACAATAACTGTTGTTTTTCCTTTGAATAGACATGGTGTTAGACAACATGATCGCTTCTGGCCAGTTAGATGAGTCCATAAGAGAGAATGTCAGAGAAGCTCTCCTGAAGAGGCATCATCACCAGAATGAGAAAAGATTCACCAGTCGGATTCCTCTTGTTCGATCTTTTGCAGATATAGGCAAGAAACATTCTGACCCTCACTTGCTTGAAAGGAATGGTGAGATAAGTTGTGGCATCCAGTTTTCGCTAACACTTCTAACAGCATTCCAGTATGTTACAGTTAACATTTGGGAAAAGAAGGATGACATTTCCAGAGAATTATATAGGTCATTTTATAATTTTTAGTATAATTTGTTATTGTGCCTATTAGAAATGTCATTTTTTTTTTTAACAACATGATAGAATCATCTCTAGAAATCACTTGGATACGAACAATTAAGCCTTCACTCTGTTAAAATGAAACAAACTAATTTCCTTTAAGTAATACTTAAATGGTACCACTGATTCCTTACCCTGAATTACTTCTCCTTCTGCTTTTTTGTTTCTATTCAAGGTGACTTGTTGTATACTTGATTAAAGAGGCATACATTTTGTTCTATAATTTTAGTTCAATTTTTTAGAAATTCTAAATCTTGTTGAACCTTTATACCTGTATGAGATTTTTTTCCTGAAAATTTTTCCCCCACCTGAATATATTATATTCGCTGGGCATAAAACAAGTGTTGTTGGCTTGGTGTTTCTGATTTCACTGCTCTTTCTTTATAGAGTTTGTGGAAGGTTTTTATGACAAGGCCTGTCTTACACCAAGGGTGACCTATTGGTGTCTTTCAGGATACCGAGAATGGCTCAGGCCCAGGTGCACATGCCTCAGCTCTCCACCCTCTTTTCTGGGCTGGTAGCAGGTCATGTGGGATGTGGAAACAGCGTTTTTATATCCATTTCCTCTGTTCGTGTCTTAAGGCTGGCACATTGGAAGGGTCGCCTTTCCTTATTTTCTTGTGTCTAAAGTAGAAGAATACATCACTGGGGTTCTATTTTGGTTCTCAAGGAGAACTTTGATAACAGCGAATCTGGAAGACCCAGGTATGAGGATTAGAGTGGCTTAGGGAGGGTCATTATTGCCTCTAACTGCTACTGTTACCCAAAACTTATGAGGACTACAGTCATGGTGAGTGGAGTGTGGCATACAGTGTCTGTTCATCTTTTCTGACCTGAAATAATAGTATGACTTTTAAGTGTTATATGGGCAAATAGCCATGAGTTTAATATATGTCAGGTTGACAGTAATCATCTTTTGCAGCTCAGTGTATTATACTTAATCTGACTCCTTTAAATCTGTTGAAAATTATGCCTTGGTTCATTCAAGGAACCTTTAGAATGGGATAAAAAAGTTTAGAGTAGGGTAAAAAACTTAGGTTTAATTAAAAGCAAGCTGTATGGGACCATTTACCTTTCTTTTTCACCTTTCATATAGTATATGTTCTCACGTTTGGCAAAATGAATTCATTTACCCTGAGGCACCCTATTATATCTTTATTCCCCTTATGCAATGGTTTCTGATTATCCTCCCATTTGTAATTTGATTCCTTTTAATCACAAGATAATAGCTGTTTTCTTGTAAATGCTCTTTCATCATGTTATTTTGTTGTATTTGTAATTTAACAGTTTTTCTGCATGTAGCTTATTTTCCTTAACTAAATGGTTGTTGTTTATGGATCAAAGGTTAATCTTTTAATATTTCTGGATTTCTTGAGCATGCAGCTTTGATCATTTTGGTCATATGGGATTGATTGTTGTATTTCTCATGTTTTTCCTAAAAAAGAATGGTATTCTTTTAAGCTGTGCTTAAATATACCATAAGACGTACCTTAATAGAAATATAGGATGTTTAAGTCTGCATGACATTTCGAAATATTATAGACTTACTATCTTATTACATTGTGGGTAAACTGCTTTTTTTTTCTAGTTAATTTAAAGATTGTATATGGTTAAACGTGCCTATGTTAAAACAAACACTTTAGGACATTTATTAATAAATATCTTTAGAGAGTTCAATAATTAGTATCCTTTCAAATTGACCTAATTTTCTTTTTAAAATAATTGATACATCTTACATATTAACTTAACTTGAGCACTACCAAGCCCTTGGCTCAATGTTATAAATAATTAATATTAGGTTAGAAATTTTTTAGGTTAGAAATTTTTAGATTAGAAATTTTAGGTTAGAATTTTTAGGTAATATTAATGTGGGCTTTTGTTTTAAGACATCTGCAGCTGTTTTATATAATGTAGGAAAAATGCACTAAATATAAATTATTAGTTCTAGTAAGTTTTTGTTTGGATTCTATTTTTTATATTATTTTTGTATTCTCAATTGCCATTTATTATTTAAGCAGTAACTTCATATTGATTTTTGTTTCTTGTAAAAATGACAGGGTATTGGTCATCTAATTTGTGACAGAATATTGTCCCCTACAATCTGTCATTAACATTTTTTTTTTTTAAATCTATGTTCAGGGAATTAATTGCCATTTAAATAATTTTTCAGTGATTTTCTAACATTTAAAATCTGATTGATTTGCTAACCCTCACAGCATGAATTTGAAATATTGGGCCTTTAAAGCTTGTGATTTATGGTGTAAATTGATTTTTGTGTCTACATATGCCGTCTGCAGTGAACTTCATCATTTTTCATTTATTTGTTTTATCTCAGGGGAAGGCCTTTCAGCCTCCCGCCATTCTTTGCGAACAGGTCTCTCTGCCTCAAACCTTTCATTGCGAGGAGAATCGCCTTTATCTCTTCTTCTCAGTCATCTTCTTCCTTCTTCAAGAGGTGGAACCCCTGCAGGCTCAAGGTGTACAACCCCAGTTCCCACCCCTCAAAACAGTCCTCCTTCCAGCCCTAGCATCAGTCGCCTGACCTCCAGAAGTTCCCAACAGAGTCAGCTTCAGGCCCCAGAACTACTGGTTTCACCTGCCAGTGATGATATTCCCACAGTAGTTATTCATCCGCCCGAGGAAGACTTAGAAGCACTGAAAGGCCAGGAACAGAAGAATGAGGAAAATGTTGACTTAACTCCAGGCAACTATCCCAAATCTCCATGTGTGGTGCTTTCTGCCTCTGGATCACTTGCACTTGGAATGCCTTTCAGCACATAACTTGAGCAGCATATGTAGATAATGCTAATTATTTATCTTGACTTCTGCATGTTTTTTCTTTATTGTAGAAAAGAGTAGAATTGTTAAATATTTATGTTATTAAAAAGAATTCAAAGAAGACTATACATAATTTAAACCCTCAAAGTTTTTCACTGAAATTTTAGAGGTCAAGGCAGTCAAGATTTTAATTTTTTTTTTTTTTTTTTTAAAAGAATGGTGGCTTTTCTTGTGCAGTTCACTCATAAGGCAAATGAACATATACGTATACAGACAATGAGATGATGTGCCTTTTATTTATTTGAGGCTTTTAAAATAAAGACAGGATCTTATATTCTTTTTTCTCATTTTGCCTCTGAGAAGTTTGAGGTTCTCTGATAACTGACTTCTGGAATTCTAATTTCAAAGCTGCTGTTATATTTTGTAACAAAGTTTAGTTGTTCCTTGTTGAATGTCATATTTAACTTTAATCTAAAGTATCTGTAAGATTTGCAGCACCAGAGTTCCTACAATTATGTCTAGGACATATATAAATATTTATGTGTAAATTAGGAATTATTTCTTAATGGGCAAAAAGAGTTACAGCTTATTTAAGGACTATAGATATGGTAACTTTGGTTCTTTCTTGTACATTGGTTATATAAACATTTATTCTCATAGTTTTTTAAATGTAATTTGTATTTAGAAAGTACTTTTAGTAAAAAAAAAAAAAGAAAGTGCTTTTAGTAACTTTTTTTTTTTTTTAAAAAAACATTTTAGACAAGCATCAATGATATATACTAATACTAACTAATGTTTTTTTTCAGTACTGGGGATTGAACTTAGGGCCTCATGTATTATAGGCAAGTGCTCTATCATTTGAGTTATATCCCCAGTTCCATTTTTAAATTATATTTTGAGACAGGGTCTCCTTAAGTTGCTGAGGCTGGCCTCCAACTTGTGATCCTCCTGCCTCTTTCTCCTAAGTAGCTGGGATTATAGGCTTTTGCCATCACACCTGGCCTAATTGTGGTTTTAAACACTTCAGCGGCAGTACAGTGATTCAGTTACCCTATTCAATATACAGATTTGTGTAAGTTGGGTATGTACACCCGTTTTAAAAAACTCAAGTAAAGTTAGTTTAACTTCTCTGAGTCTTACTACACACAGCTAGTAAGTGGAAGCCTAAATTCTACTAATCATTGTTTCCTACCACTTTACAAAAAAACTCTTTCCCCCTATTGGCTTTATCTAGATATACCAAGTACATTTAATCAAAGGTTATTCTAGTTGCAGAAAGAATTTATGCACACATTTAGAAGTACCAATGAAGTTTTGTGGCTAAATAGTTGTAATATTAATTATGATTGTAGTCATAATTGCGATTGCTTGATAGTAAGTACCTAGGTATTTTTCAGATATCATATTTCTAAATTTTTGTAATAGTATCTTAAGTTTGGTATTATCTCCATTTTACAAATGAAGGAAAAACAGAACTGTCAGTATCATATTGTAAATGACCAAAGCAGGGGTTTGAACTTGGCTCTACTTAAAACAAAATCTATTGTGTTATATTTCATTGTGACTTTTACTCCTTCATGAAAAGTGTAGATTAACAATGAGGTAACTGGACATAAAGGAGACAAAAAACACCTAGAAACAATTACTTAGAAATAATCAGTACTCTTAACTAAAAAGAGCTAGGAAAATTTTCTCCTTTTTCTGGGTCAGAAATGATTTTCAACTTTCATTTATTTTTATCTGTGTCAAATTGATTGGTAATTCTGAATGTTTCTTGTTTTATCAGCTCCTTTGTTATGAAATAAGGGTCTCTGAAATTTTGGGTAAAAAGGAGGAGGCATAAGGGTTTACAGTGTTGTGTTATGCCATCCTACAGAAATAAAAGAAGCAATTAGCTGAGAATTGAGAATCACAGGTGTTGTCCAACCATGCTATGAATTTTTGGCAGTGATTTTATCAGCTTTTCTGAAGAGAAGAAATTAAAATGGAGGGAAGGGGGAATTTCTAAAGGCAAAAAGAAACTCATAATTACTATTAAGAAGACATCTGTAGAAGGTTGGTATTGACTGAAGAAAAATAACAAAAACTGCTATACGTTATTTCCTGTTTTATCAAGTTTGGTGCTTAACGCACCTGGAAACTCCAGTGGAATTTCCTTGATGTCTGATACCACCTTCGAGGAGGAGAGTGGCCCCAGCATCGTATTGGAAAGGCTAATGTGGTAGACTTGTGTGTCATGAAGTCATGATTTGTGCATATCCATAATAAAAAAGGAGGTAGTTTTCTATCAGTTATTCTTGGGAGAATAATTATTTGCAAGAGACATATTTAGTAAGTATTTTTCCAAACTCAGTATTTCTCAGCCTTGCATTGTTGACATTCTGACTGAGTAATTCTTCCCTGGATGGTTAGGTGGGAGGAGGTAGATGTGTGTTTTGTAGGATGCTCAGCAGCCTCTGGCCGCTGTGTACCAGTTGCCAGTATCACCCCCCATTGAAAACCAACTATGTCTAAATATTGCTAGATGTCTCTTGGGGCATAGTTTTCCCGAGTTGATAGCCCCTGCTTTATTTCTTCTTTCAAGTTTGTAATAACAGAAAACTGATACCTTTGAGTTATCTTTCTCTGTTAGACTTGCTATTTGAAAAAAAACAATATGTGAAATAGATTTACAAGAGTATGATTTAAAAACCATTGCTGATTTTATTTATATAATCCCTTCATTCTTTCCTTCCCGCCCTCCTTCCCTCTCTCCGGCCCTCCCTCCTTTCCTTTGTTCCTTCCCCCTTTCCTTCCTATACTGGGAGTTGAAACCAGAGGTGCTTTACCACCGAACTGTGTTCCCTGTCCATGTTATTTTTTATTTTGAGACAGAGAGCTGCTAAGTTACTAAGACTGGCTTTGAACTTGTGATCTTCCTGCCTCAGCCTCCCGAGTCACTGGGATTGTAGACACTATGCCTGACTTTCTTTTTTTCTTTTTAAAGAGAAGGAATATTATTAAGAAGATGAAGTGAATATTTGCTAACTTGAGCAGCTAGGTTGTAGAAGAAAGGATCTGAAAATTCCCTTTCTGACATCTAAGATGTGGACCCCATTGATAGACACCTTATTCTTTCCTCAGAGTCTCTTTTAAGCAAATAAATACAGTCTTTCTGAGTTATTTGTGCAAATGGTTGAGAGCTTTATTTTTTGGTGACTTAATTCTGACCCCTAGGAATTCATTGTAGGAGGAGGGAGATTTGCTTTATGGATTAAGACAACAGCTTTAACTTAGCTGAGGTTTGGAAGAACTACCCAGGAGGATTAAGGTGGAAAGCTCTAATGTACACCTGCCATGCTAATTCTGAAAGAAGAATGAGGCTAGCCAAGTCACTTCAGGTCATATCCTCTAGCTTTGTCACCATTGAGTTCCACATCATTTTTGTCTTCCCCTCATTTGAGTTCTGCATCATTTTTTCTTGTGTCTTCACTTTCCTCCACAGCCCTGTCATTCTGCTTCTTTCTCCCAAATCTGGTGGCTAGAATTATTCTGGAAAACTATGTCTTAAACAGTCTTTTGCTTGTATATCCACAGATTAAATACAGTTTACCACTTAAAAGTCTGTAATAGTAGCAGTTACCCCTAGGGCCTTATTTAGACTCTCCTTGATTTTTTAAATGTGAGATAGGTGGAAACCACTGAGGAATGCTGGAAAACTTTTCTTCCCTCCCTGGGCAAAGGAGAGACACTGTTCTGGAAGTTTAGGGACAAAGGTTAAAGCAGAGGAATCTTAACAGCATATCCATGTTAACCTAACATGAAGGATGAGTTGTCTTAGGAAGTAATTTTTATTTCAGAATTGTTTATTTTTTCCAGAGAATGAGCTGAATAGAGTGTGCTTACTTTTTGTACTAAGATTCTTTTTTTTAATATTCATTTTTTAGTTATAGGTGGACACAATATTTTATTTTTATGTGGTGCTGAGGATCAAACCCAGTGCCTCATGCATGCTAGGTGAGTGCTCTACCTCTGAGCCACAATCTTTGTCCCTGTACTAAGATTTTTAAGTCACCATGATATCCTCACTTATGTATTTAACAGATGTGGATATCACAGAGGTCACTGAGTTTAGGTGATGAACCCTAAAGATTTAATTTCAATATTAATTAATTTTTTAAAGTGCTATGAAAATAAAAACTCTTGGTTGCATTTAGTACATCTCTTGTGCTTAAAGTTCATGAACCTGACTACCAATATGAATCTCAAAGATCTAAGCATAAAATAAATTTTAAGCTAATTTTTATGGCTCATGAACTAAGTGGCACTATTAAAACTAAAGGTAGTATTTGTTGTATTTCAATGCCCTTTCCTCTATGATATTCAGTGTTTTTAATATAGTTCATATTCTTTGACTAGAAAATCTTTGGTGTTTTGAAAAAAGTGAGGTGCATTTAATTGTAGAATTCTGTGCAATCCACTTGAATTTGAAATTTTTGATATTTGAACTTTTTGCCAAACTTGTAATGGTAAGCTGGGTTTTCATACTACGTGGTGTTTTTTAGTTGTTTTGTTCTTGTGAAATGTTGCTGTTCAATGTGTCACTTGAATATATTGTTGCTTGAACATATATTTCTATCATGTAATCCAAACAACTATCATTTTTAATCTAAAACTAATTTGATAGGCTTATCTGAATCAAGAGATTGAGTAAATTATTTAATCACATGGCTAAAAGTGGTAGTATCTATCTGTCCATCTATCTATTTATTTATTTTGGGGTACCAGGGATTGAATTTGTGAGCACTTGACCACTGAGTACATCCCCATCACTATCTCGTATTTTATTTAGAGACAGGGTCTCACTGAATTTCTTAGCACCTTGCTTTTGCTGAGGCTGGCTTTTCACGATCCTCCTGCCTCAGCTTCCCAAGCTGCTGGGATTACAGGCTTGTGCCTCCACAACCCATGGTAGTATTTATTTTAATACAGATTTCTTTGATATGAAACCTCTAACCTTTGCACTGGGAAAGTAAAAATTTTGCTTATCATACTTTAAAGTTATTTTTCTTAGGAAAAATTACAGTAGTCTTTGTACATAATAAAACTATTACAGGAAAATGAAAATTCTTAAGCAAATTGTTAAGATTATGAAAGATAGTGATAAATTCAACATACATTTAGTAGCTCCTAAACTTTGAGAGACTTTATATTGTTACTAGCGTGAGCATGCTAAGTGTAGTTAGCCATCACTAGGCCTGATGCCATTCACATGTATTTGTAGTGGTGATCAGACTCAGGTCTTCTTTCATCTTTGGTTCCACACTGACTCACTTTTTTCTTTTTTTGGAAAGGCCACCATTTATATTATTTTAAATACTAAGATGTGCAGTTTCATTGCTTAAAATGTCATTCTAGTTTTGCTGATATGTACTAACACCTGGCACTTTGTTTTTTTAAACTTTGCACATTTGCTTTTATAATAAAACCACCACTTTCAGTATATGAACAGAGTTAGGCTATGAAGTGAATTTTCCCCTTACTAATTGGAATTGTGTTTTTTCTTAAAAATAGGCATTTTGGCCTCTCCACAGTCAGCTCCTGGAAACTTGGACAATAGTAAAAGTGGAGAAATTAAAGGTAATGGAAGTGGAGGAAGCAGAGAAAATAGTACTGTTGACTTCAGCAAGGTAATTCTGCCATTTATCACCTTTAAATTTTCATAATCATTCTGAGAAAATAACTAGCCATTTGTAGCTTCATTAGCATTGCTTATAAAATATTTTGGCAGACTTGGTGCTTACATACCTACTTGTGATACATGTGATATGTTCACTTAAGAACAGAAATTGTGAGAAAGGCTAAATTCAAGAGTTTGAATAAATACATGCTTATTAGTTTTAACAATTCTGAAAGAATAATATGAAAGTAATACAGTATTTCCATCTATACCTACCCATAGATGTGACACTTCTGTACGTTTTGAACTTCAGCTTTGTTCTGGAGCTACCACCACTAGGCAGGTCAATTCTGGGACTGATGTTAGGGTACTAATGATCCAGCCTTTCCTGGGCCATCCCAGAATTACTGTCTCATGGTGTTATTGCTCTTTGGAATGCCACTGGGAAAAATATTGGTGCTTCTTTGTGGCATGGATTTAAAAGGCATGGATTTAAAAAATATATGTGTATAATATATATCTCTTAACTGTGCTTTTTTATTTTGCTAGATTGAAATGGGGGAAGACATTTAGAAAGCACAGGGCAAAAAACAACTCAGACAACAATTGAATTTAAAGTATACTTCATGAATCCTTTTTATAAATGCTTGATTACATGTAGGCATTGGTCTTTTCTTATGATTAATTTGCTACAGGATGCTCATGATACTGTAATATTTTTGCATTCAATGTAAGGCTTTTTATTAAATGTGATTATGTCAAGCAAGATCCATTTTTTTTAAAGCCTTTTATTCTGTCATGCAAAGTCTGCAAGTCACATTTTACAGAAAAGAAGTCTACATGATTTGCATTGTAACTTTGCTGAGAGTCAGACTCTAAAATTATAGAAAGCCTGGATTAGAGAGATTAGCTATACAGAATGTCTGTTGTACTTTTAATATATGCTAACTTATTCTTATTTTTACTGGTGCTATATTATTTCAGCTCAGTGAAAAGTGTTCATAACTAAATTGCATTTTATTCTTGTTAAATGAATGTGATTTACAGTATAGATCTCCTCTAGACATGGCAGTTGCCGTTTATTTTTGTTCCTCTGTCACAGTTTTACCTTTTTTTACTTGGCCTATCCTTGTGTACACCTCCTTGTCTCCTGTTGGGCAGGAGTCTGCCTCCTGGCACTGTAGTTGTGGCACACTGGGTGTGGGACTCAAGAGGCCCGCTGTAAGTGCTGGTTTTATTTTTAATAGATAGCCCTGTAAGTGGTCGTTTAGTGACTTGTGTGAAACTGTATAAATAAAGAAGCTCACATACTTTAGTATCATGTTTGTAACCTTTTCCTTGTAATTATACACAGGCAACAACTAAATTTCACTTATTATGGCATTATGCTAAATCTGAACCAATAAAGACTATAGATTTTAGTTATAAATGACAATTTCCTCCCATTTAATGAAAATACTGGGCAATGTTACAGTTTTTTTTTTTTTAAGGGAAACATAAAAATATAAAGGAAATAATCATTTCTAAGACTAAATAATAGAAAATATTGAATATTTTAGCACTGTGTATAATTTCATGAACCATTGTTAGTTTGTGAACTACATGTCCTTAATAGTTTTTAATGAATAGTGCTATATTCATTGAAAATTTTCTTAAGTTTATGTGTTTGATATAGATTTTTAATTAGTAAAGATTGTGAGAGTTTAAATAGTAATATTGATAAATGTATTTTGCTTGCTTTTGCATTTTTCGTCCACTTCATTCTCTATTCTTGTGAAAGTTTTGGCATTTATACATCTTTTAGATCACAAGTTTTGATTAGAAAATAGTATTCTTGAAAAGCAATTTTCTTACCTATTTCCCTCTAGTTAATCTTATAAATATCATGCAAACTTTATTTTTAATTATCATGAATTTGTCAATAGGTTGACATGAATTTCATGAGGAAAATTCCTACGGGAGCTGAGGCATCCAATGTCCTGGTGGGAGAAGTAGACTTTTTGGAAAGACCTATAATTGCCTTTGTGAGACTAGCTCCCGCCGTCCTTCTCTCAGGGTTGACTGAGGTCCCTGTTCCTACGAGGTAAAAATTGGTTCCAATTAACATTCTCTGAGCATGTTCCAACCTAAAAATTTTTATTCACTGAAAGAACAAGCATCTTGCTTTGTGTAATGAAAGTTTTTTAATTATTAATATTCATTCTGTGTACCAAAATTCTTTGAGTATTAGAGCATAACAGTTATCTTTCTTTTAGAGCTAAAAAATAAAATAACATCATTCTTTTAAAAAAATTTGCATGTGTATCTTTATAAGAAGTTTGGCATCTTAGAATCTTCAGTTTGAAAACAGTGAGCCATTTTATTTTTTATTTGTTTACTTATTTTGGTGCTGGGAATTGAACCCAGGGCCTTGGTGTCTCCTAAGTATCTATTGTACCATTGAGCTATGTTCCCATGCCCAGTTAAGCATTGGAGACATATTATTTAATGTAATGCAAAACATTGTAATCAGAGAAAATGGAGTTGAATTCTTTCTCTGTCCCTTCTTTTTATGGAAGTGGGGTCAAGCCTTACTTAAATTTTCTATTTCATTTATGAAGTGAGGACACCTCATGGTTGGTTAAATGTAATAATACCTTTGAATTAGACAAAATGCTTTGTTCTGTCCTAGTAAAAATTTTCTGTTCAGTGAACATCATAAGTAAATGAGGGTGGGGAGGAGGGTAATATCTATAAGAAAAATTTGCAAGTTGTGTGTTGTGTTAATCAGTCTGTTAGCTATGCAAGAGACAGTTCTATAGTTTGTTAGCTTTAGGAGCTTAATTTTAGATGAATCTCATTTCTAAAATATATATTTTTTTATAAATGAATATGAAGAATTAATAGGAACTTGATGGAAATATACTTATTTTCAATTTGTTTTACTGAGGGTTTTTTTTTCTTTCTCTCCCTTTCTGTGTTGTGGATTGAACCTAGTGCCTCCCACATGCTAGGCAAGTTCTCTGCCACTGAGCTGTACCTCAGCCTTCAGTTTTCATTAATGTTGCAAGTATTGAGATAAGTGAGAAAAATAACTCTGCGGATTCATATGTAAATTCTCATAAAATGGGAGGGTGAATACTTCCAAGTTTGAACAAGTGTGAATATTAATATTTTACTGTAGTGTTAGCAAAGTTATAACCAAAGAGAAAATGAAATACTTTTTATTTAGTCACTAGAAAAATAGAGTTTTTCTGTTAAATTTGGAGTATAAGTAAAAATTATTTTTCCCTTCAAAGGGAATTGTTGACTAAAATCACATATTTATAATATTAAGTGTTTTTGTTGAGAACTGCAGATTTGAAGAATTACATATTTTTTTTTTGTGTACACGCTTGTTTGTTTTTCCTTCCTTTCCCTCTGTTCTTCCCTTCTTTACAAATTTTGTTTTTTTTGTGTGTGTATACTCCTAACTACTTATTTGACAGAACTCACAGATATTTAATAGGATTGATATTCATTGTATATACTAATTTATTTTTGTTGTTAATTCAGACCAGATTTGTTTAATCCTAAAGAAGATGGGGATTAAATGAAAAACACATTCTTCATTCCTATTTGGCCCCAAGGGTGATGTGATCTGACTGCTGCACAGATAGTTAATTTTGAAGGCCTTTGCTTAGCTCTGTGATCTGCTTTACTTTGAGTTGCCATTGTTTTAGTTGTTCTTGTAGGGGATTGAAAAAGAGGTTTGAATGTTGATTCTGTGTTTGCATTTGAATGATCTTTTCAACACAAGTTTGTATAGATTCATGTGTATGCTTTTTGTTTTTAAATTTATGTATTTTAATCTTCCCTTAGGTTTTTGTTTTTGTTACTGGGTCCAGCAGGCAAGGCACCACAGTACCATGAAATTGGCAGATCGATAGCCACTCTCATGACAGATGAGGTACTGAAATAACAGTTAAATACCTTTGAAATACACAGTTACTATGGGATTAAATTATAGTCTTCTCTTTCATAGTACAGCTTATAAAATTGTCTTTAATGTCTCTACTATTTTATATTTACTTTTCAAATATTTGTCTTTGGTAAGGATCGGTGAGTATTGATATTTTTTAATTCTTATTTTTAAACATTTGAAATTTTTGACTACTTTCTTTGAGGTTTGAAAGGTTTCCTAGCTTAGATTTCAAGAAATTTCTAAATTTATATCCCCAATCCTTTTTATTTTTTTATTATGAGATCAGGCCTCATTCAGTTATCTTTTATGATTGTTGCCCAGGGTGGGTAACTTATTTATGATATCTAAAGTGAATTTACCATTTTAAAATTCTTATACCCAATTTGTTTTTCTTTTTAGATTTTTCATGATGTAGCTTATAAAGCAAAAGACAGAAATGACCTCTTATCTGGAATTGATGAATTTTTAGATCAAGTAACTGTTTTGCCTCCAGGAGAGTGGGATCCTTCCATACGTATAGAGCCACCCAAAAGTGTTCCTTCTCAGGTAAGCATCCAGAGGTCTTCTTCCATGAGTTACTTTTTTAATTTAAAAAAAAAAAAAAAAAACAACTAGATAAAATTTCAGAATATACATTGCTATGATTAAAAAGTCTTAAAAGTATTGGGACATTGCTCTGTGGGAGAGCATTTACCACTGTTTAGTGTGTGAGGTCCTCAGCTCAGTTGGTAGGTGGCAGAGCTACATTTACCTTGTCTCCTTTATCTTCTTACCCTTATGCCCACCTCTCTGGGTGACGATTTGTTGTGTTTAGTTTAATTCAGAACATGGAAGTATGCACGTGTAATATAGTCTTTCTTTTTTTTTTTTCCCTTTTGTAATGTTGGGAGTTGAACCCAAGGCCTTTGCGTGCCAGGCAAGCACTATTCTACTGAGCCACAATCCCAGCCCCATAATACAGTCTTATTTATTCCTCTGTCTTACCAAAGGTTTTCATACTATATATAATATTGTGTATCTTTTTTTATAGAGGATGAACATTTCTAATCTGAAATCCAAAATTCTCTAAAATCTGAAACATTTTGAATTCTGACATGAAGCTTAAAATGTTTCAGATTTTGAATCCTGAACTAGTAGAATCTGTGCAAATATGTTTAAATTTAAAAAACTGAAATATTTTTAGTTCCAAGTATTTTGGATAAGGAATACTAACCTGTATAATAGTATATCCTGGAGATGTGTTCATAAGTAATGATGGAGCTATTCCTTATTCTTTTTTCTATAGCTACATTCTGTTCCATTTATGGATGTACCATTGTTTATCCTATTCCTGGGCTCTGGTTATTTTCAGTCTTTTGCTATTACAAACTGTACCATGGTACTCACAGGCCATTTTAGCCTCATATAAATATATCTTTAGGATAGGTCTCCAGAAATAGGTTGCTGGTTCAAAGGGGGAGTCATTTATAATCTGAGTAGATATTACCAGAATCCCCTGTCATCTTGAACTGTTTTAAAACTCTCAGTTAGAGGACTGCCTGTTTCCCTGCATCCTCACTAATAAACTTTCAGGTATTTCTCAGTCTGATTGGTATGTTTATCTTGCTGATTATCTTTTAATGAGGTCTTAATATGCATTTCTTTAATGAGTGGGGTTGAATATTCATTATTATTGTCTTCAATTTTTTAATTTGTCTTAGTTATACATGACAGTAGAATGCATTTATGTACTTTGATATATCATACATGGATGGGATATAATTTCTCATTTTTCTGAGTGTACATTGATTATTGTTTTGTTCATTGCCCTTTACCACCTTTTTTTGACCATTGAAAATCATTCATTGATCCTTTGGAGTTTGTCATGGTGTGTCATATGAGATTATACATCAGACTTTATCTTTTTTTTGTACCTTGTTGCCTGGTTATCCCAGGTCATTAAAACATTAAGCATTACACCTTTGATTAATGATGTGGCCTTCACATTAATTAAATTTCCATCTACATTTGAGTCTGATTCTTGAATTTCTTTTATATTCTGTTTATTCATGAATTAATTCTATACTACTTAATTTTTTTGTGGCTTTTTGGTATATATTAATATCTGGCAGGTCCAGACTTGTTTTTGCCTATTTTTTTTTCTTTTTCCTTTCCTCCTCAGTTCTCTCGACCGTCTTTGCATGTTTAGTTTTCTATATAAACTTTAAGATCAGCTTTCTTTGTTCAGAAATAAAACCTTCTGGTTTTTAGAGTTACGATTACAGTTAATTTCCCAGTGAACTGAGGAAGAATTGACATCTTTCTGACACTGAATCTTTTTTTTTTTCCAAGAACATGATATGTCTATCCCCAATCAATTTTCTGTTTCACATTAGTTTTTGCATCAAAGAATGTCAAAGTTTTCTTTATCTATACTTTGCCTGCTTCTTGGAGAGCATATTCATAGAATACTTTGTTTCTAGTGTAAATGAGGTCTTAGTTTCATTTGTGTGTGTGTGTGTGTGTAAGTGTGTGTGTGTGTGAACTGTTTTTACATGTATGTGTTTTTTGTCCTAAAACCCTTCTTAGTTTTTTTTTTTTTTTTTTAATTGTATGTGTTGGTTTTATTGTTTTCAGAAACAAGAAGGTTTATTTAGGAAAGCAGAGGCATATTCAAGGCAGAATACGGCCTATCTCAAGAGTGAGAGGCCTTTGGGATAAAACAAGGAATACACATTGAAGGTAGAATGTAGACTGTCTTCAGAGGGAGACACACCTATATATGGTAGTTTTTTCAGTCATACTGTTTGTAATAAGAGAGAGGTTTTTCCCTACATTTTTAGATCTTTTACCTGTAATATTTTTCTTGTCTAATTGTGTTAACTGACGAGTATTAACTAGCAGTGGCTTTAAAATAAGGGCATTCCTTATCTTGCTTCTAACTCTTGTCAGTGTCTCTAGTGTTTCCCTTATTAAATAAGATACTGATATTGGGGCCAAAATGTACATTTTATCATGTTAAGAAAGTACCAGTTATTATTTTATTGAAATTTTTAGTATAAATGGATGTTGAATTTTTATCAAATGCCTTTCTAGCATCTGTGGCAATGAATTATATTAATTTTATTTGTCACCTGTTTGGTAAATTTTATTAGTAGATTTCTTAATGTAAAACACTAGTATTGTTAGAGTGAGTACAGCTTGGACTTTAAAGTGCTAGTAGACTGTGTCCCTATTCTATTTAAGATGTTTGCGCCATTGTAAGTAGAGTGGTCTATAGATTTTTGTGCTATCTTCATGTGTTGATATCATTATTCCATTTGTTTCATAAAAACATTAGTTTCCTTTTTTCTGTTGTTCTTAAACAGTTTAAATGGTATGGAATATTTTGGTTTCAAAAGTTTGGAAGAATTACTTTGTAAAATAGTTTGATCTTGCATCTTTTGTCATATGATAGAGTTTAACATCTTACTTATTTCTTTTGTGGAATTTGGTTTCTGTAATTTCCATTTTTTTCCTGGGGTTTGTTTTTATAAATCATGCTTTTCTGGTATATTATCTGTTTCATCCAAGTTTTTAATTTATTTGAAAACAGTTGTGCATCTTGCTCTATATATTTTTCCTCAGTTTGTGAAGTTTTTGTCTCCTTGTTGTTTAGCTAGCGGCTAATCATCTATCATATTTAAACAGCAGCTTTTAAAAAATATATATGACAACAGAATGTATTTTGACACGTCATACATAAATGGAGTATAACTTTTCATTCGTCTCGTACACAGGTCATGTAATCATATGCACATAGGGTAATAATGTCAGTTTACCTTTTTTTTTAAAGAATTTTTTTTCCTACCTCAGTTTCTGATTTTAGTTGTTTGATTTCATTTCACTTTTTTTTTTTTTTTTTAGGAAAGACTTTTGTTTTTACATTTGCTACCTTTTACATTTGATTCATTTTAATTTTTTTTTTTTGTAATATGAGTGCTTAATTTTTTATATACATAAATGCTATGTAGAGTTTTCCATTGTTTTTGTTTTCTAGGAATTCTATAAATTTGGTTCCTCTTTACCCTAGGGTGGTTTTAATTTTGACATTTTCAAATGGTAACCTTATATTTACAGATGAGTCTTGTAATTTTATAAATATTGGATATGTAAACCAGGCCATATAAGTCTGTGGTTGAGCCAGAACCTTTGACTTCAGGTGACTTCCTGGGACCACATTTACTCTGCCTCATTTTCTGTCTCCTTCCTTTCTCCCTTGCTTCCCTCCTTCCCCTTACATATATGTGCATATGTATGCAAACATGTACATAGTCTTTTAGTTTAGTTACCTCTTGAGGTAACAAATTAAAAGCTCAATCCTTTGTCTTCACTGTGAGAGAGACTCTCCTATGTCATGGCAATGGTACTCTTTAAAATGAAATATAGCAGGAAACTGATTTTCATTAAAACATGTTTAATAAACAATTCTTGTGCTACTTTTTAAAGGGAAGTATTTTAGTGAAAGAAAAACAGCATTTTGAAAATTAGTGTACATTTCTCAGTAGTTGATATGAACAGTATTTATAAAGATTTCTGGTGAGAGAGAGGTTTTTTTTGGAGACTATTCATAACTATTGCTGAAGAGTAAATGAAATTGTATGTTTACATGTTTAGAATATATGATACAAAGAGCTAATCATAAATTCAGAATACATTAGATTCTATTCATAGTGTAATTAATTTATTTTTTCACAGTGTAATTTATTTAATGAGAAGTTTACTTTAGGAAGCATTTTTCTAGATCACTGATTAGATATATAATCCATATAAGGTCTGATGTTACCTTCAATCAAAGGTACCACTTCAGTTTTTTAAAAAACAGATTTCTGAAAATGTGTTTTTATGAAATTCAGGAAAAGAGAAAGATTCCAGTGTTTCCCAATGGATCTGCCCCTGTATCTGGTGAGACTCCTAAGGAGGCTGCTCATCATGCTGGGCCTGAGCTGCAGAGGACTGGACGGTGGGTACCCAGATACTGACATCTTTTTGAAACCAGGGTTTGATTTGATGAAAAAAGCATGAACATTTTGTTTTTCTTTCCAAGTATTTGGAACCTAATATTATACAGTCTTTCTTTTGTGTTTTTAAAAATATATATTATTGTATAAGTTCTATAGTTCTGAGAAAATTTTATATGCATTTAAAAGTAATTTTAATAGTACATACCAAACTTTAGTTTAAAATGGAAATAATGGACCATATATTTAAAAATTGCAGTTATTTGGTATATAGGTTAATTTTCATTGCCTCTACTAAGGTTTTTAATGAAGGGTTAGAGTCCTTATAGAGTTCATCATATCAAATTTTGGGAAGAGGAATTATAATGAATGATTTTGTATTACGTATAGATTTATATATAATATTTTATGCACACACACATATATGTAAAATATCATGAGATACTATAGAATTACATGGACAAGCATGATTAAATTGTAATATTCTCTGTGGAAACCTTTTTAGAAAAAGTAAAAAGTTAACTTTTGGAGTAAAGAATAGAATTGTTGCCAGGTATAAACATCTTTACAATGTTTTAAAATGTTTTGTAGAAGTAGATAAATGCTGTGGTGTTTCCATATATATGGGTATTGATGCTGTTTTGTCTACTGGGGAGCAGTATGGAACTCAAAAATCGTGAATCTTAAAATCTTTGCTTATAAAACTAGGATACCATATATAGACACTGTATTAGGGATTTTGATGACATGTCTTAAAGGGTCCTATGTATAAGAAAAATAACAATGGGCATACTGGGTATAAATTAAACTCACAATGTGACTCATTGACTAATGTATTAGTTTCTATGAATATAAAAGAATAAAATACCATTGCTGTGTAGACAGTGCTGGTCTATTAGCTATCATTTCTTTGAACTTTATATGGAGATAGAGTTATTCTCTGAATTAGACCCCCCACTAATCTCACAGTCACCTTAGAGCCTCTATAAGCCATCTTTTAAATAACTAGTTATTGATTTGATGTTATAGATACATTGGCATCTTTTTATTGTAAGCTGATTTCCCTTGATATCAGATTATTTATAGAATAACTTCCAACACTTGTAAAGGTATGTTTAGGATGTATTTCACTATTAGCTTTAAAATAAATAGAATGAGAAAGCTCAGAACATCCAAAGCATTTGAAAGTTTACAATTAATTTCTTAATTAATTGTAAAAAAATTCTTGCAATTGATATTTGAATTATTACCTATTTTATGACACAGAACTTTTTTGAATTATGGATTGAGTCACTGGCATCTATTGAGTGTACCTACTATCCCCCAAGTAGTATTTTAGACAATGGAGATAGGTTACTAAACTCCTCTTATGGAGCTTATATATTTTGGGGAAATTTTCAAGTTAGATGTATCTAAAAGTCTGAATTTTTTTTTCGTTTTTTTGTAGTGTGGAGGTTGAACCCAGAGCTGCTCTACCACTAGGCTACATCCTCACCCCTTTGCATTTATAAATATAATATAGATTTTAATCTCATAGGTTTATTAATATATGTACTAATTTGACTACATATGTAATAAACTAAGTATACCGACATAGCTTTTTAGGTTTTGTTCCTAGACAGAAATAATTATATAATTGAAGCACAAATTTTTTAAAGTTATTAAAATTATTTAATAACTATTTGTGCAACTAAGTACAGCATACTACATTCATTTTAAAGGATACTTTGATTATAATTGCATTCTTTGTATTTCTAACAGTGCCTTTAAGATATATAATGTAGACAATAATGAGTAGAATTGCTTATGCATATTTTCATGAATGGCTAGGTTTTGTTTATTGTATATTTCTTTGCACATTTGTGTCCAAAGTTACATTTACTCATATAAAATCATTGCCTGCAGTCTTGTCAGTATATAGTCTATAAAAAAATGTGTTTGTCTCTTTTAGCTTAATGAGATCTTTCCTCTATCATCAGTAGATTAAATGAGTGTATCTTCTATAAATTATACTGTTGTTTTAAGTTGGATTTAAATTTTTGTTGAGAAAACGCTAGGCACCAGCAGTTTTATGTAGCCCATAGTTTTAGTGTGAACTAGCTAGAATCCTCTAGTGTACAGTTTGACGAGTTTCATCTCACCTATTTAGGCTTTTTGGTGGTTTGATACTTGACATCAAAAGGAAAGCACCTTTTTTCTTGAGTGACTTCAAGGATGCATTAAGCCTGCAGTGCCTGGCCTCGATTCTTTTCCTATACTGTGCCTGTATGTCTCCTGTAATCACTTTTGGAGGGCTGCTTGGAGAAGCTACAGAAGGCAGAATAGTGAGTACCAAGATTGGTAGTGGCCAGGCTCTTAGCTCTTCAGAGGCAAGTGTCTGTATGCATTTGTCTCACTATTGGTACTTTTATTTGAAGAGTCTACCCACAGCAAGATTAACCTGTCCCAAAGCAGACTTCCCCCAAAGGTAATTGCTGTGGAAAACATGGGGAAGCCATTTGAACAGGAGAAGATGCACAGTTGAGGTAAAAAACAAAAACAAAAAACCAACAACAAAAACTTATCCTGCCTTGCTGGATGGAATGGTTTTATAATTGAGTAAAAGGCTTGCATTGTCTCCTGGTGGGTGGGTGGATTGTGGGGGATTGTGGGTGGGGGAATTCATCAGTGGGGCTATTTCACCCTGTGAGGTATCATAGGATTAGTTAGAATCATATGATTAATATGAATCCATCAGCCCTGGCTGGTAGGCCCAAGCTAGACTATTTGGAAGAATAGAACATAATTGTGGAGATGATGGATTTTTGAAGTGATATTTACTTTAATTTTGCTACTAATAAATCTGTGTGAAAGTAGCAAAGGCTTTTATTTGGAAAATATAATTGAAAATTGCCTCTTTCTTTTGATATGACTAAAATGAAATTTTTAATGTATTACTGTATTAGGAGTTATGGTACTTTGTAAAATTTTGAAAAATATTTTTTTGGGGGGCGGGGCTCATGTATTTTAATGACCTTTAAATGAGATGATTTATAATTTGTAAGTGTATTTTTACCTAATAATATTTACTCTTGAGTTAAAATTTATATTTTTATAGATAAAAGTTAAAAAAATATCCAAAGCTAAGTAATGATAATTATTCATTTGAAGTATTTAATGACCTGAACACAAGATAAATCTGAAAACAAAAATTTTCATGCAACTCTGAATTTATTTTTGATTATTTAGATTCTTCTTACCTTATTCTGTATTCAATATATCAAAAGCAGATATTTTTAGTAAGTTGCTATAAATGCTGTCACAAATTGTACATGTAACTGCTGGTCCTTGTGGAAATGTGTTTTATCTGTTACTTTCATGAAAGTGCTCCTTCTTTCTTGTGGACTGTCACTACCTGCCCGTCTCCTTCTGCTGTTTGATACCATGTGCATGTGATGTGTGTTAGGCACTGGAGGGGGGCAGACTAGTATAAGAGCACGTGTCTCCTGTCCTCAAGGATGCTAACCTAAGTGAAAGAGAATGATAATATATACATGGTTCCTACACTGTGGTTTGCTGTGCCACATGAGTGGTGGGAATTGGAGTAAGATAAATAAAAAAAGCAGAAGTATCATGTATTTGTTTTCATTTGCTTTGTTGAACTTTAGGTAGAAATGGACGTACTAGGAGGTACAGTTTCAGAGTTTATAGAGTGATAAAGGGGGAAATGTACAGATTGGGAAACCATAAATGAGATTTGAAACTGAAAATAGTGGAGGTTAACAAGGAAGATAATTTATAGGGAGAGAAGGAGAAGGAAAAGTGGTAAGTAACCTAGATTTATGGAATGGAGGAGAGATGGGGTAGAGGGGCAGGGTGGAAAATGAAAATGACCCAATAGATTGGACACAGGTATAGCCAGAGCCCTAGAAGAGAATTGAGGATGGTGTAATTTTGCAGAAGCCAACTAGAAGTTTTGAGGAGGAATAATTAGAAGGAGGTGTTCAGTGATTTAGTACAGTCGTAAAGGAGAACAGTAGGGAGGTGTGAAGAGGGCTTTTGATAGGCAAAATGGAAACTTATAACTGTAGAGTGTGGTAGAGAAGACATTGCAATGGGGCTGTGATTTTCTAAGGGAAAGACAGGTTTTAGTTTGGGAATGAACTACAAGTTGAGCAAAACTTAGAAAAAAATAGTCTGGGTAAGGGGAAAAATAGATCTGGATAAGGGAATGTTTTGCTTTTGTAGCTATGGCAGTAAGGAAGAGGAGAGGCTGTGAGGAAGGGTTTTCAGTGGCACCATTTGTTTTTTAAACCAAGGTTGAGGGAGGGGAACCTTAATTTTGTGCCCATCTGCTCCTGTTAACTTTTTTTTTCATCTGTTATACTCTCCTCTTCTCAGTTTCTTTCCCCCTCAATATCATTTACACTTTTTTCCCTTAAGCTTAACCAAAATTCATTCGTAAATATTTTGTGGTGGCTTACCAGTGTCTTCTAGCACAAACTGGTTTCCCATAGGCAAGAAAATAAATTATCTCATACAGTTAACAAATGTATTATTAATATGGATGCTTCTCCATTATGTTGCCAAGAGACAAATTTGTATGTGTTTCATCCTGTTTTTATTCTGATAGTTGAATTATACTTTTGTTGTCTTTGTTACTTTGTGAATGCTCTGATTTTGGAAGATACTTGTTACAGTTGATAATGAGAACTGCTATTATTTATTAAATACATTCCAGGTGCCATATACTGTGCTTGCTGGGTGTTTCTACAAATACCACTTAAGGTCTCCTAGTTGTAATCTCCTCCCATTTAAAAATGAGAAAGCTTTGGCTTTCAAAGGTTGTGATATAGCCAGAGCTCAGTGCATGGCACTAACCAGTCTTCCACTTTGGATCTGGTCCTGAAGCCCTACTCTCTTTGCCTACTGCCTCTCATTTCAGGAGTGTTGTCTTGAAAACTTCCTTTTCTTGTCTTTACCAACTGTGGGCTTTCCCGCTCTGGGTAGTACATTCCACTTGGCTGTGGTGTTTGTGAATGGTAAACTATTCTTTCTTTCTGACCCCTTCCCTTTGTCTAGTAGTATGGTGTATCATCACCCCTTATCATCTCATAACCTAATTAGTTGGGATGTTATAGTGGTGGTGGTACATTTTTCTCATCTTTTTTTTTTTATTTTGTCAAATTTTAATGATAAGATACTTTCTCTATTATGGTTGGTATGAATTTTTTATGGAGATTTTGTTTATGTTAAGTATGTCATTTTTGATATCAATTGATTAGGTTTATCAGTAGTTTATATATGAAATCTGCTTGAAAAATAGGGTCAAATGTTAATTCCTTATCTATTTGAAAGATTCTTTTTTGTACCTCTGTATTGAGCATTTAAATGTGTTTTTTAATGAACTATTTCAGACATGCCAGAGATATTAAAAATAACACACATCTTTAGATAGAGTTGAATCCCTGATATATGTCTCCTCCATTTACTATTTGCATCTCACAGTATTGCCTTGAATTAAGGATGATTACAAAAAATTTACTTTTAAATATACCAAAACAAATCAGTTTTCTCTGTGTATTTGGAATGTATTTGTAGTTTTATGTAATGAAATTTTAATTTTAAGAGCCATAAGTTTGTGCTTCCATTATATTTGTAACTACTTGGTTTGTATTTTTATTTTACAGCTGTCTAACATGTATTATATTAGGTAAGAAATGTGTTTATGATGTATTGCTTCTATTCATTTCTTTTTTCCTTGAACAGAGTGCAATAGAGTCTCTCTTTGGAGCATCATTAACTGGGATTGCCTATTCATTGTTTGCTGGGCAACCTCTAACAATACTGGGGAGCACAGGTCCAGTTCTAGTGTTTGAAAAAATTTTATTTAAATTCTGCAGGTAAGTAATAGTTCTCTATTCATCATGTGTATTTGCATATATGTACAATTATATATTGTTTATTAGCAACTGAAAAGTTCTGATCAATATCTGCATTTTTAATTTTTTGGGCTGCACTGTGGTTGGCCCCATCAAGGCTTCTACCACCATCCCAACCTCAGTAACTTAGAGATGAGGAAAATAAGATTGCCCATCAATGCAAAATCAATGTATTTTGAGTACTGATAAACAGATCATAAAAATCCTTTGTTCTAGCAAATTTCAACGATAAGAAGATATTCATCTGAACTATTTGTTAAACAATACGTTGTTGTTATACAGGAAGTTTAGAAAGAGGTAACTTTACCAGTCAGTCCTGTTTAACAGATATGAGACTGAAGCAATCAGAGAGAAGTGTCAGTTTCCACTGACTAGGTTATTTATGGTGTGGAGGTAATACAGGGGATTGGACTTGGTATGCTTTGAATTCAACAGGGCCAATACTGTCTTTTTATGACATAAATGCAGTTGAACATTTTAGCCTGAAACAACTTGATGCTTTTAAATAATTGGTTCATCTAACTCTTGTTCTGATTTTGTACCCACTAAACAAGCTGACTGTGATTCTAATCTTTCATGGCTTGAAATATAGTAGCTGCTTGTTTGAAATTTAAAAAAAGAAATCACCTTTCTCTGGTTATAATGGTGGGAGAGGAGGTGGCGGTGGTGATGGCAAGACATTGGAGCTATGTTTTTACTGTATTGATGTGTAGCTTCCTGGTCTTCAGAGGGAGTCAAATACAATTCTTTTTTTTTTAATCTGTCATTTACTTCTCATAATTGATTCCTAAAATGAGGTCTATTAATTTTGAAATATTTATTGCCTAATAGATATGTACTATGAATCTTTTATATAAATGTAATAACCAGTAAGTCTTCATTCAGTTGAAGTAGAAAAGTAGAGCATTATCTAATCATTATTTTGTTATTCTATAATTCCTTCTCTCTCTTTTTTTTAGGAATCATGTTTTGTTCTTATTGTTTATTATGAAAATTTTAAGGTACAAGTACTATTCCCTATATATATGTTGATTATGTTCACATTTTTATTTCTGAACAGAGATTATCACCTTTCCTATCTGTCTTTAAGAACCAGTATTGGTCTGTGGACTTCTTTCTTGTGCATTGTTTTGGTTGCAACAGATGCGAGCAGCCTTGTGTGTTACATCACTCGGTTTACAGAAGAGGCTTTTGCAGCTCTCATTTGCATCATATTCATCTATGAAGCTTTGGAGAAGCTTTTTCATTTAGGAGAAATATATGCATTTAATATGCACAACAACTTAAATAAACTGACCAGCTACTCGTAAGTGCTGTTTCTCACTAATATTAAAAAGTATTTTTGTCAAGATGTCAGAGCCTAAGAAAATGCCTTTTGTGTTTTCTTTTTGACAATATAATGCCCACTGTATCTAGCAACAACTACCAGCCATCTAGTAGTTGATATATTTGTTTCAGGTGAGATTTTACCAAAGCTTTCAGAGGACATAAATGTAGTTCATCAAGTTCATTCATTTTGTTCACTGAAATAAATTATATGTGTGTATTTTCAGTCTTCTGTTTGAATTATATTGGTCTATTTAAATTTGTTTGGCAATTAGCCTACCATATATTTGCTTTAGGCAATAATATTAGATTTTAATTCTTTAACTACATAACCACATCCTACATGTATAGTAGGATGTGGGATTATTTTTTGTATTTGTATATTCCTCACATTTTGTGTCTTAATTAATAGTTTTGAAACTTGTTATCATATATTGAAGTTTTGTGGTAGAATTTTAGTATATTTTTATTTTAGTATATTTTGTGTTTAATGGAGTGTTTTCCTTGCGAATAAGAAAAGTATTATTCAACCATCAAGATGACAAAAAAAAAAAAGATTAGAAGAAGGAATGAAATGAACATAATCTAAAACTCTAGAATAAAATAGGATTTGAAAAGTGACATATAATAGTTACAAAAGATTGGTGAATATATTTAGATAAAAGTAAAGCAGACTGTTAAAACTAGACATATCAAAGAAGTGTCTCTATTTGTTGTCTTTCACAATCTTGTTTGGTATAAATGTGGTGTTTCATTTGATTGACACATATAGGGATATGTAGTCATCTAAAGTAGAAAGGGTGCACACCTTTTTCCTTCTCTCCACCTAAGCCTGACCTGAGATCCTGTATCTTCCCCTTTTTTCATACTTTTGTTACTTTTTTTCCTTCTTTGTCTTCCTAGTATATCCTCAATTTTGATAGATAAAGTAGGGAAGGGTATGAAATTCTGTATAAGTACTGACCTATTTGAAAACATTAGAGATACTTTGATTTTAAATTTGTGATATGCTGTCTTCTTTGTTCTTACATGCTTTACTTTACTTTTTTTTCATTTTCTCTCTTTCTGTGCACTTTTTCCTTTGACCTCTGAATGATGACTTTTATTGTTAGTACCAGCCTTAGAATAATGTTTCCTTTTGATTAACTGAGTAGCTGCATGTGAACAGCATCTACTCACCATATAGCTTATGAGCGTTGAGCATTGTGTTCAGAGTGTTTCTTAATTCTTGTGAATATACTAGTGAACGGTGTTAATACCATAGCCCCTTTCTTGTCTGAAGACACTGAAGCTCGTTTCTTAATTCTTGTGAATATACTAGTGAACGGTGTTTATACCATAGCCCCTTTCTTGTCTGAAGACACTGAAGCTCTTGGAGGTTAAAACTTGCCTTAGATTGAACAGCTAGTAAGTAACAACACCTGGGTGGACTCCAGATCCATCTTCTCATCTTTTCTCAAACAGTTCATTATCTAATTTGGGAGTAATCATGTTTGTTTTTATTTTTTAAATTTATATTTAGAGGTTCATTTGCTAAGTGTTTCTAGCTTATTTAGGCAGTTGAGATAGTTCTAAATATGAACTGAACTCTGATCTTATTTTTCTTAGTATTGTCCTGATGAAAATTTTTATTTATTTGAGAGTGAATCTTAAATTCATTAAAGGGTGAATATGAGTATTAGGTCTAGTGCGAGCACAAAAAAATCAATAGCAGTGTAACTTTTATTGGGAATAAATACATGTTGTATTGCAGGGATAGGAAGAGACAACAGTGACTGCTGTGATGATTGAGGAGATAGGATTTAATGGAGAATAATCTTGCCAAACACGGTGGTATCTTAAAATTTTTAATTATTTTAAAAATATTTTTTTGTCCTCTTAGATTAAACAAACAAACATGTTCCCCCCAAGGGATATATTTAACCAATTTTATAAAGTAAATATTTTATGTGAACTAATTTTATTAATATCATACCAGTCTTATTCCATTCTGTTGTTTGATATGTGTCGTTTCTAGTCTCCATGCTTTGCAACATGGAAAAAAAATTAAGAAATTAAAAGCTACCACACCGTGCAGTTGATTGAGTAAAATGTAAGCATGAAATGCGTGACTTTTAATTCACCTACCATGTTGGGTGCAGTGCCTGTAATACCAGTGGCTGGAGAGGCTGAGGTAGGAGCATAACAAGTTCAAAGCCAGCCTCAGCAACTTAATGAGGCTCTAAGCAACTTAGTGAGACCCTGTCTATAAATAAAAAATAAAAAGGGCTGGGGATGTGGCTCAGTGGTTGAGTGCCCCTGGGTTCAATACCTGGTACTAAATAATTAATTAAATAAATAAAAATTTCACCTACTGTGATTTTTCAGATGTGTATGTATTGAACCTCCTGACCCTAGTAATGAAACTCTAGAGCTATGGAAGAAAGAGAATATAACAGCACACAGTATTTCCTGGGGAAATCTCACTGTTTCTGTAAGTATATTACAAAATGGAGGATGCTATAAATATTGTATTAAATAAATTCTTTAGTTTTTTCAGATTATTCTTATTTTCTTCTTGATCAATGGATTTATGGTATGTTTTCAAAATATAGTGTTTTAACCAAATAGGAGGTCCCACTTTTTTGTGTATCATGCACTAGAAATTATAGGCTAAAAAGAATGAAGGTTAGGGAGATAAAAAGACTATACTGCACTTCTCAGATTTTTTTAAAAGTTATTAAAAAGATGTGAACATACTTGTGAACTTTGTTTAACTCAAGAGTCTAGTCTGATTCAAGCTCTTAAGAAAACAGGAAGGAAAAAGGGCAAAATGTGTTATAAGCATCTGCTATATACTGAATACTATTATAGGCACTTGTATTATGTTGGGAAATGTTGTCCTTGCTCTGTAATATCCATGGTGTGTTGCTTATGAGCTAGGCATAAACATATTAAGTGAAGCCAGCAGTCAGAATTAAAACAAAGATCCCCTGAAATTCTCTAGAAGTTTTTTTTGTTTGTTTGTTTGTTTGTTTTTTAAATAGGGGGATTATATAAGTAACTGAATCCATCCTTTCTCACTAAAGGTGATAGTTAGCCCCTAACTAAATAATTTGAAAAAAATATCTGAAATTTTATCCTATTGGTAATTTAAGGCTGTGCCATCCAAACAGTAGCCTTAACATGTGTCTAAGTTTAAATAAAATTAATAAAAAGTTCAGTTTCTGAGTTGACTAGCCACAGTCACTTCATAAAACTTTTGGCTTCTGTATTAAACAGTGCAGATATATAACATTTCCATCACAGGAATTCTCTTATGAATCAGTACTATTCATAGCAACTTAGAGACATGTTTTACTGTTTTGTAATTAGCAAATTATTTTTTGTTGTGGAAGAGGTATAGCTGATTGAAGTAGTCAAAAGTGACTTGTTAAAAAGAATTTGCTTTGGGGCTGGGATTATGGCTCAGTGGTAGAGCACTTGCCTAGTATGTGGGAAGCTCTGGGTTCGATCCTCAGCACCACATTAAAAAAATAAATAAATAAACCAAATAAATGTATTGTGTCTAACTACAACTAAAAAAATAAATGTTTAAAAAAATAAAAAAAGAATTTGATTTCTGATTCCTGATGGGCATCCTGTCTTGACATTAGAGACACAGGTCTTTCCAGTATATGTTGTTTTTTTTGTTTTTTGTTTGGTACCAGAGATTGAACTCATGTGCAATCAGCCACTGAACCACATCCCCAGCTCTATTTTGTATTTTTTTTAGAGACAGGGACTCACTGAGTTGCTTAGGGCCTCATTTTTGCTGAGGCTGGCTTTGAACTCGTGATCCCTTTGCCTCAGCCTCCCAAGCAACTGGGATTATAGGTGTGTGTCACTGCGCCAGGCTCCAGTATATTTTTTGATATTCATTTTGCCATGTTGGTGGTGGCATTCTTTTTTTTTTTATAGCCTTTAATTTCATGGATTGGAATTAAAAATAATGGAATCTTTAAAATTTTCTTGTGATAGTTTTTTTTTTCGTTATTGTTGTTTAAAATGAGTTATATTTGGGGCACTTCCTCTAATCTCTAAATTTTCTTCTAAAGGAAAATTAAGTCAATGGACTTCTATCAAATATGATATATTTTGTATTATGTTATCAATTTTGTCAAAGGATATATTATCTTAATGATTACTTTACTTCCTCATGAAAGACCATGGTTTCAATTCTAAGATCTTGAGTTTGAATCAGAAAATCCAGCCACAGATTTTGTTACTGATTTCAGTTTGTTACTGCAGCCATCTCTATTCAGCATTGTAACAGGGCATAAGACTGATTTTCTGTCTGCTGCTTTGGTATAAGCCACCTATTCAAAAATACAGGAAAGACAGTAAATTGTGGACCAACAAGAATGCAGATGAAACATTTCATAAATAATACTCATTATAGTCCTTTTACTAAAGGGAATATATAATTGAAGGAAAGGAGGACATAAGTGAAATAGTCTTATTTCATTGACTTAGACAAGTCACAGCATCTCTGAACTTAGGTGCTGTCTTACAGTTCATCGATGATGTGTTATATACAGTTGACTTTGCAGTGCCCCTTTTCTTGCAAAGTGAAACATAAAATTTGCATCTTAGAGTCAATGAAGTTTATTAATTTTATTGGATGTTTGAAAACTTCCTCTATTTTCTTTTTTCCTCCCCCCTTTTTTCCAGGAATGTAAAACCTTTCATGGTGCATTTGTAGGATCAGCTTGTAGTCCTCATGGACCTTATATTCCAGATGTGCTCTTTTGGTGTGTCATCTTATTTTTCACAACATTTTTTCTGTCTTCATTCCTCAAGCAATTTAAGACCAAGCGTTATTTTCCTACCAAGGTAACTGGGATGTAATTTTGGGAATTCTGGTTATCATGTTTTTGGTTTTCATTTTCTTGGTTTATTTCAAAATAGCAGTATATCATTTAAGGTTAATACTTTGCCAAGTAATTATAAATTACTTATACTAAAAATGTATGGTATATGTCTGAGCTCACAGTGGGAAGATACTGATACCAAGAAAGCAAAGGTTAGTTGTGAATTATGTAATCATTTGGAAAGAATTAGGTATAAATGTATGTCACTGCCATTATCAGTAATTAAAAATTCCGTTCATACTTTTTAGTGATGTTTTGCCTGTGAAAGAGATGAATTATTTAGAAAGGGGACATACTTTTTGTTTATATTAACATAATGCCTTTAACATAGGTGCGATCGACAATCAGTGACTTTGCCGTATTTCTCACAATAGTAATAATGGTTGCAGTTGACTACCTTGTAGGAGTTCCATCTCCTAAACTTCATGTTCCTGAAAAATTTGAGGTAAGGATTGAAACAAGTGGCTTTTTTTCTTCCTTGGGAATGTCAAACTACTTTACAACTACTTTAAAAATGAGACACTCCTCCCTTAGTATGTGTAGTCTCTTTGAAGAGCTGATGCTTTGACAGGAAAAATTATATGTGTATTTCTCACATATGAAAAAATGAAATAAAAAAAGAGATGAGAGAACCTATTTAGGAAAAGTATATAGTTCATATATCAAAGCAAATGAAAACATCCATGGTGAAGAGTTGGGAGCCATTTAAAAAATGGACTCTGCTTTCCTAGTTGGATCTCTCTCTTAGTGTGTTTTCCAGGGGAAGAGAAACATCCTTCAAAGAAGTAACCTAAACTTGAATTTAGAAAAATGACAGTGGGACCCTAGTTAAATTTCTAGAAGGGCCATGTATCTGACAGTAATTGGAAAGCTCCATGTAACATTTTCCAGCAAAATCAGGAAAAAATAAAATGTTTTCTATAAGAAAAATATTTAATGCAAGCCTCCATTTGAATTGTTTACTTTCATTGGCAAACTTGTATCCTATTGAACAGCCTGGGTTGGAACTGTGCAGTTTAGATGCTGATTTGGGGTGTAGGGTGGTGGCTTGCTGCAATTTAGTGGGGGGCACTTTCAAAGGACTCACAAAGACCTAGAAATATTGAAAAAATTAAGAAAAAGTTATGCCATGAATGCATAATGTATATTTACAGAATGGTTTATTACTCATTACCGTAAAGTAACACAAAAATTTATTGTAAAAAATAAAAATTTATCAAAACATATGCAGACAGACTATATATGCTATCATTCATAGAGAGGTATAAATAAATGTAAAGAATGGGGTATTAAATCATAATTTTGAAATCTACTATAGTACCTACTGTTGCCAACCTCAGCAACTTAGTGAGGCCCTAAGCAATTTGGTCAGACCCTATCTCAAAATAAAAAAAAATAAATAAAAGGGCTGGGAATGTGGCTCACTGTTAAAAATACCCCTGGTTCAAGTTTTGTCCCCCACTCCCCACAAAAAAAGTTACAACTGGAATTTTTGACCACAAGGAGATTGGTGCCCCAACCAACCCTCCCCAGATATTGGATAATCGTCCGTTCTGTATTTTTTTTCTGGTCTGTAATTTTTTATTCCTCCCTCTGTTTGTGATGTATAAGAGGAAGCAACTTTTAAGTTGTGTTACTGGTTACATTTATTTTTGCCTTGAGTAAATTATGTGACTTCTTTTGGAAGAAGGTGGCTTAAGGGGATCTGAAACAAGGTATATAATGGAAATAATTTTAGTATGCTTTATCTTTCATTGTGATCAAAAAATTAACAGTATTTTAAAAACCAGTGGTTTCCAAAGTACATGTGCATGGATGTAAAATAATCTACCAACAATATTAAATTTAAAAATAAGAAAAATTAATCTTTGTTACAGGTATAGTAATATAGTATATGAGTGAGTATAGAGCAGTTTGGTACAGTTTATTTTTAATTTTTTGTTTCTAAATTTGGAGATTTCTGTTTAAAAATGTAGACATTGTGCCACTAGGTTGTTAAGAAATGGCTAGTATAGGAAAGTCACTGTTTTTACCAAGTCTTATTATAAGAGTATATAAGAAAATGAAGCTAAATTAATGTTGATTTAAAATATTGACATAATTTTCTATAATTCTGGTTCCTAAATATATTTCTGTTATTCCTTTATTTCTTTATTCAGATAGCAGTCTCAATTTTGAGAAGCATCAAATGTATTTGGGGAGACAAATCAAGAAATAGTTAAGAATGAAAGCATTGTGTAAATAAAATATTTTTATTCAGATATAGAAGTATGAAGCAGTTTTATATATAGCTGTAGGAAGATTGGAATACCTGAACATTGAAAGTATTAAGTTTCCCTTTTGTACTGTCAAATGCTTTCATGAAAAATAGCCTGAATATTAAATCTAGGTAATAAAAATATATTTAAGTTTCAATACATCCAGTATCCTCCAAGAGCCGTAAACTCTGTTACAGTCTTTTAAAATTTTTTGTTACAAAAATAAGTTTCGTGTTAACATCATTAAAATGTGTTAATATCTGATGCCAGCTTTTTGTCATTAGTTGTTTTGGAAAAATACTATCCAAAGGGCTGATTCAGATTCAGTACCATCCTGCTAAGATCACTAGCACAGGATCTGTATAGCAGTTTTAATTTGGGAGTTGATCAAGTAGGTAGATTGATTTCTGGTTTGCTTGTCCTGTTGCTGCTTAACAAACCTCCTGAAAATATGATCTCTAAACAACAGCTCTTTGTTTGTTCGTAGTTATGTGCCAGTAGGGACTGGGCTTAGCTGAGTAGTAGCCTGGTTTCTGGATCTCACCTGGGACCTTTCACGTGGCTGCAGTCATCTGATGGTTTCCTGATGTCAGCGTGGCTGCATTCACTAATCTGGGGCTTCAGCTCTGATGGTCAAAGTAGAGGGAGTGGTTGTAGTCTGCCCCACCCCTCCTGCCTGGCTCCCCCACCACATTGCTTCTTGTCTTCAAGAAGCTTAGTTTATCTAGGCTTATTCAACAGCATAATCATCTTAGGGTTCTGAGAGCATTAAGAGAAGAAGCTGCAGGTTTTCTTGAGGTCAAGACTTGGAAGTCGGTGTCACTTTGGCCTTATTTCATGGGTTAAAGTTTTAAGGTCATCCCAGGTTCAAGGGGAAGGGAAATAAATTCTGCCTCTAGATATAGAGTGGCTAAGTTACATGGCAAGGGGCATGCTTGTAAAAACGGGAAGAAGTCCTTTGGCACTCTTTACAAATAACTGAGTACACATCCCAAGATTTAGTTCAGTTCTTTTCTATCCCTTAGTATTTCTTGGAATAGACCCTGTCTATGCTGTGGAGATTTAGTGCAGTAGAGAAATGAAACTCTTTTTTTTTTTTTTTTTCTTTAATTTTTTAACAGCCTACTGATCCAAATAGGGGCTGGATCATAAGCCCATTGGGAGATAATCCTTGGTGGACCTTATTAATAGCTGCTATTCCAGCCCTGCTCTGTACCATTCTCATCTTTATGGATCAACAAATTACAGCTGTCATCATAAACAGAAAGGAGCACAAATTGAAGGTGATTTCCAACTTTTGCCTTAAGTGTTGTGATTTCTTCAAAGGTTTATGGTGTTCCCAAATTAGAACATTAAAAGATGGAAGATGGAAAGTAGTTTCTTCCCTTTGTATAACTAATATAGAATTTTAACCTGAAAGACCAGTTTAGACTAATAGATATTCCTGTTTATTTCACTTTTCAGAAAGGAGCTGGCTACCACCTTGATTTGCTCATGGTTGGTGTTATGTTGGGAGTTTGCTCTGTCATGGGACTTCCATGGTTTGTGGCTGCAACGGTGTTGTCAATAAGTCATGTCAACAGCTTGAAAGTTGAATCTGAATGTTCTGCTCCAGGGGAACAACCCAAGTTTTTGGGAATTCGTGAACAGCGAGTTACAGGACTAATGATTTTTATTCTAATGGGCCTCTCTGTGTTCATGACTTCAGTACTAAAGGTAAAGTCTCTGGTAGCATTTAAAAATCTTATTTATCATAACATTTATACTTAGTTGTATGAAAATGAGACATTGAAATCAGTATCTAAAACATCAGTTTCATGTCCTATAATTTACTTTGGAAATAATATTTGGTAAGGTTTTTAGCATAGTAAACATTTCAGTGATAGGTGTGTCCATTTTAAAAGTAATGTAAAAGGGTAGTATTAAAGACTAGATTTGGGAGGAGTTGATCAATGCTTAGTTATGATTTAAAAGGAGAGAATATTCTCAGAATTTTTTATAAATATTAGAGGAAGTTATATTGAAAGGTAGATGAAAATTATTTGACCAGTTTTTAAAAATATAATGCTGTTTTTGAAGTTAATGCATTCTGTCTGATGCACTCTATGAAACAAAGGTAACAAACACTCATTAGAAAATAAGTAAAAATGAGATTACAGGCATGCACTACTGAGCCTGGCTTGGAAATTATAATTTTTTATAAAAATATGTTCCTTATATTAACTTATCATGGGCTTAGTATTGTTATTATCAAATTAATTTAAAAATAGCAAATTACATGCCCGTAATCCCAGGGCCCTGGGAGACCTAGGCAGGAGGATTGCAAGTGTAAAGCCAGCCCCAGCAATTTAGTGAGGCCCTAAGCCACTTAGTGAGCCATTGTCTCAAAATAATAGTAATAATAAAAAGGGCTGGGATGTGGCTCAGTGATTAAGCGCTCCTTGGTTCAGTCTGTGGTATCAAAATAAAAGGGGAGGGGCAATTTAAAATTAAATTCTAGCATGATGAATATCTTATATTTCTAACACATTCACACAGAAGTGTTTGGAGATGTGGGTGGGAGGAGTCCTCAGGATTTTTAAGAGTATAAAGGGGTTCTGACATCAAAATCTTTGAGAACCTTTAATCTAAGCCTATCTTTCGGGATGAGTTTAGCATGCTTGTGTTTATCCTCCATTTCCACACTCCCTCCTAACGCCTGCCTTGCGTGGTTTATACTTCTAGTTTTATTGTAAAGGTACTAACATTTTGTGCTGTCATTATAATTAGGCGTTCCATGCATTACAGTAAGTGAAATCATAAAAAAGTAAATCTTCTGGAAACTCATAATCACTATTATGATGATAAAAATATTTACTGAGGACTAAGCAGTGCATTGGCCAGGAACTCCACCTTATTTTACTAAATCCTACTGCATAAAAAATAACAGTGCAGGCATCAAAACCAAATAAATTTATTCATTCCTTCCCTTCCTCCCTTCCTTCTTCCCTCCCTCAATGTCATTGTTTCACTGTTTTCTAGAGGCCAGTTTTATGTATCTGTTTGGTTTTAGTATCTTCAGGTACTTGTGCCTTTCCACCCCACGCCCCACCCAAGCTAAACAGATCCCAGACCTTCTGAAGTTATTCTTACATTTTGATTCCCTCACATCTCACTATTAGAGAGTATTTCTACCATTTTCTATATCATTACACTGATTTTTAGTCTTATTAAAATTATTATTACAGAATTGTTTTTAATTACTTGAATAATCATATCTTTAAACAATTTCCAGGAATTATTCATTCTGGTCATTCCCATTCCTTATCATTCTGAAGTTACTTTTTGGATAAATATTTTTTAAAAGTTCCCTGGGGGAGTTGGTTATCTACACCTCAATTAACCAACCTAGTTGGTCTTTTCTAAGGGTGATGAATTACTGCTTTTTCTTCCAGGGTCTCCTTAGAAAAAAACATACTAGGTTGGTGAGTTGAGGTATATATGAATTTCCTTTGTAGTTGCTGAGTCTTTTTTTCTTACAGGCCTCTCCCTTGGGTCATTATGCTTTTGAGTAAATTGATGGGGACTGTTAATAGCCAGGCTTCACTACAAAATGCCTAGGTATGGGCCAGATAGGTGATTTGGGATCTCTCTAACTACCAGAGTAATGAGTATTTTATTCCAGAGGTGGATTTCAATTATTGTTGTTAGTAAATGCTATGTACAGTATTGGCAATGAAGGGGAGGTATTCATAGTAATATAAATGCTCTTTGAGTTTCAGGTGCTTTTCAAGTTTTTTAAATGTATATGAAGTAATTTAATTTTCACAGCAATCTGATGTAGAAAGTACACTACAGAAAGATTTTGTTTAAAAATTATCTAGGCTTTTAAGCCAAGTATTCTATCGTACTTTTAAACTACTGAACCTATTCCTTTGTAGAAGATGAGCAATTTTCCAAGGATCTGTTGATTATTAGCATTTTCTTACATATAAAAATGTGAAGTTTGTCTAATCCTTATCACTGATCTTTTACTTCTGTCACCATGTATTCATTGCTGTGAAATGGTTTTTGTAGCATGAGTTCTAATTGTGGTCCTTTTACTTACAGTTTATTCCAATGCCTGTTCTATATGGTGTTTTCCTTTATATGGGAGTTTCCTCATTGAAAGGAATTCAGGCAAGTCTTAAGTATTTAGTGAATTTGTAGAAAAAGTTAAACCTATATTAAATTTGAAGAGACTGTTTTCATTATGGTACTGACTTATTCTCAACTCTTTGGTATTTTAAGAGCTGATTATTTTTCTAACTGATGACTTCGAATCCACATTTGCCAAGTGATTATTGCTTACAGCGCATTTTTTTTTTTTTCTGTAAAGAATAGTATCAGGAATTGATGTGATCCTCACCTATCTTTAATTAAACTCACTAAAGACTACTATAGTGAGAGGGAGGATCAAAAGAATTGGAATGGGGGGGAAATGTTGTTTCTAACATGTAAAATGGCACTTTCAGTACTTAAGGAGAAAAGGTAGGTATTAATTTCCCTATAAAAATGGTGAAGCCTGCCATTTGTATGGCACAATGTGATTTGAAGACCTGGCACAAAAAAATATTTCCTGTGATCCTCAAAATGATAGTTGTGAAGGAGAAAGGAAGACATCCTAATTTCATAATTCAGGTAACAGAAATAGAGGGACTGAGGAAGTAGGAGGTTTAGCCAGTGATTTCCCTTCTCTTGTCTTATTTATAACAATTCCTGGAGAACAAGCTCATAAAACTTACTCAGGTTTGCACAGATGATAATGGAAAACATTTAGATCAGCATAGTTAGCCTCACCTGATCACCTCTTCTCATGCCAAGGCTGTGTTCTAAGGTGCCAACTGGTGGCTGGCAAGACTTCTCAAAGACACCAGCTTCATTTTTTTTTTTTTAATTTAGCCTGGGTCTTCTCCCCATTGGTCAAGAAAGAATCTAATTATCTCACTTGATTTTCACAACAGTTTTCTGAGGTGGTAGGACTCATTTTATTTCCAATTTATGATTAAGGAATTTAAAGCTTAAAAAGACCAACGAATTTGCTCAAAGTTTCATTTTCAGTGAATGAAGATTTAGTACTTGTTGCTTTGAGTTGTTTTTATAAAATAAGCCTTGTTATACATGGAAAGATCCTTAAAAGTCATTCAGATTGTTGTTTTAATCATACATATTAGAAAACAAGGTTAAAGAGATGAAATGACCAGTGAATTGATCTAACTATTTTAATCCCCCCAAATTAAAATGTTTTGCTTTGAATTTTCTGATTAAGTTAATTGTAGTAGTTGAAGTGAGTGCCTTTATTTATTTATTTTTCTCTCTACTTGGATCCAGAGATTTTTGGTTAAAGAAAGTAATCTCTGGTATTATCAGAACATACCATTTAAATTTAATACAGAAAACCCTAAGATTGGGTAGAATTTCTTTTCCTAAATAGCAGAAACGATATTTTGTTTAAACTTTCTTTTTTCTTCTCCATTCTCTATGTAGTTTTTTGACCGTATAAAGTTATTTGGAATGCCTGCCAAGCATCAGCCTGATTTGATCTACCTCCGCTATGTGCCTCTCTGGAAGGTCCATATTTTCACAGTCATTCAGCTTACTTGTCTGGTTCTTTTATGGGTGATAAAGGCTTCAGCTGCCGCGGTAGTTTTTCCCATGATGGTAAGTTTTTTCCAGACTTTTTTGGTCACTATCTAATAACATGATTGTTTATGTATATTTTCATTGTAATTCTCTTTATATTTATAATTGCTATTGGAAAAAGGAATAGCCCATTTAATGTTTCTTGGGTGTTTGACAATGTGGACTAACTGTTTCTAGCTATGTTTTCCAATGCGAATTTTCTGGTCAGTTAAAAAAATGACTTTTTAAAGTCTCTGTACTGTAGAGCTCTGTTTTGGTATTTTTTTTTAACAATTTCAGAATTTAGAACATTTTTGTTGAACAAATGAGATAGACAGATGTAAAAAGCAAAGCATTCAAAACAACAGGTTTTCTCTCTTTCCCTCTCCCCCTCTCCCTTTTTGGCAAGGTCTTCAAGGTTGGGCTTGAACCCATGATCCTGCAGGCTCAGCTTCTCAATTGATTGGGATTTAGAGCATGTACCATCTTGCCTGACAGATGCCTTTAAAACAAATTTTTTTTTTTTTCCTGGCTGGATATTGAACCTAGGGTCTCCTCCCATACTGCCACTGAGCTACATCCCTGAATGAGTCCTTAATAAGATATTTCAATGTATCTTTTTCAGAAATTGACAGATGTAGAAGTTTAAAAGTTATAAAGACTATAGATGACTTATATAAATACCATGTAAAAATTGGTTATGTACATGGCTATAAACATCCTTATAAAAACTAAACCGTAGAAATTATCCAGGTAATATTTCCTGATTGCAATTATATTGCATGTTTAAAAGGCATTAATATAACCTTACATATTTGGAAATTTGACCTTGGATAGAAAATTGAGCTAAAAATCTATATAACGTAACAAAAGAGAGACCTTTATAACAATGTGTCTCTAAAACTTTGACCATAGTTTGTTATATTCAAAGGAAGATGTGTACCCTGCATTGCTTTTATTATTCAAGAAGATGTAAAATAAATATAGGCAGGTTTAAATTGAATTTAAAAAGACTAAAAACCCTTAATAAAATTAATGAGAATTGTGTTAAGGTGGCTAGAATTAAAAAGACAAAAATGAATTGATATTTTCTATCTCTGTAGTAGGGCTAAAAATAGAAAACATCTTATTCATAATAATAACTAAAATCCATGAAATATTTAAGAATAAACTAAAATGAAAAAAAGAAATTTAAAGAAAAGAAGCTTTGCAATAGTGTTTATATTAGTTTCCTCAGGACACTGGAACAATGTATTACAAATTGTATAGCTCAAAACGAAAATGTATTGTCTCACAATTCTGGAGACTAGCTGTCTGAGTCCAGGGTGTGGGCAGTACCTACTCCTTCTGGAAGCCCAGGGGAGTTGGTACCTGCCTATTAACTGGCTTTTGGTGGTTTGCAGGCAGTCTTTGGCATTCCTCATTTTGCAACCACATTAACTCCTGTCTGCCTTTGTTGTGTCATGGTTCTTCCTGTGTGTCTGCGTTGTCCCTCGACTGTCTTACAAGGACACCACTCAGATTGTATTAGAAGCCCACTTTACTTCAGTATGACCTTAGCTTACTCACATAAGCAATATTCCTATTTCTAAATAAGGTCATATTCTGTGATACGGGGTTTAGGACTTCAGCTTGCCTTTTCAGGGGGTGGGGATAGGGAGATTAAACCCAGGGCCTTGCACAGGCTAGGCAAATACTATACAATTGAATTACGTCCCTGGCCCATTTTTTCCCCTTTAATTTTGAAAGAGACTCTCAAAAAATTGGCAAGGTTGGCCTCAAACTTGCAATTCTTCTGCTTCAGACTCCCAAGTAGTTGGAATTATTTCAACTTGTTTAGTATGGGACAAAATTCAATTCACAACATTATTTAAGGATATAGAATAAGACCTGAACCAATAGGTATAGCATGTTCTTTGTTTTGAATACTTAATAACTAACACATCTACAAATTTACCTGAATATATGGCAGTGCTATCACTTGAGTATCATAAGCAGATTATTTCAGAGGTGAAATTTAGTATATGGTGTTGGAAGAGTTAACTATATTCTTGGAAGTACGTTTGTTTGTACTCTGTCATGTATATAAATGAATTCAGGATTTAAATGGTAAAAAATAAAATTATAGTAGAGTATTTGTATACCTAGAAGATAATTGTTTTTTTATATCATAAAAGGCATGATTAACAAGAAAATGATATTGTGAACTGGGAGAAATATATGTAACACAAGGCAGGTAGAGGATTTGAATCCCAGTTACACAGAACTCATGAATTCATAAACAGAAGGTATAAAAACCAATAGGAAAATACAGGCAAAAGAAAGGAGATAACAAGTGAGAGAAGAGGAAACCCAAGCGGTTTAAATGCTTATTACAGTCAAAGAAAAGCAATTTTATGTCCTTTTTTGCAATGTGTTTGAAAAATTAAAACCTAGTGCTGGCAATAGGTACTCTAACCATCATGTTGCTTAGGAGGTGGTTTTTTTTTTTTTTTTTTTTTGATTCTTCTGCACTGGGGATGGAACCCAAGGGTGCTTTACCACTGAGCTTCATCCCCAGCCCTTTTTGCTTTTTATTTTTATTTTGATATAGGGTCTTGCTAAGGTGCAGAGGCTGACATTGAACTTGCAGTCCCTTGCCTTGGCCTCAGTCTCTGGGATTACAGGCATGCTGCACTGTACTGCGAGTTTTTTTTTTTTTTTTTAATACTTAATATCATGTAAAGTCATAAAAATCATCTTTTTATTATGATATTCACAATGCTTACTAACCTTTATAAGTTCTATGCAGAGTGCAAGTGACTCAGGAGAATGTCAATTTTTTTTCTTCCTTTGTACTTTTTAAATTTTGAGCAGACAGTTCAAAAAGGTGTGTGTGTGTGTGTGTATGTGTATATATATGACTCAGTTTCTTTGCAATAAGACAATGTATGAAATAATCTTAAACAAAATATATTTCTTGTCATTTAGAAGATTTATTAAATACTTCTTTCCTCTCTAAATTATATAATTCATATTATATGTTACTATTTTCTCTCCTCCCCACTTTTTTAAGGTTCTGGCATTGGTGTTTGTACGCAAGCTCATGGACCTGTGTTTCACAAAGAGAGAACTTAGTTGGCTTGATGATCTCATGCCAGAAAGTAAGAAAAAGAAAGAAGATGACAAAAAGAAAAAAGAAAAAGAGGTAAAAAACAATAATTATAGATTTACGTCATTCCCTTCTTTAATATTTTGTACCATACAGTGAGCTCTATTTACTTGAATCAACATCTTTAATCCTCATAAGAACCTTATAAAGTAGGGACTGTTATCATCCCCATTTTGTAAATAACGAAACTGAGGCAGGAGAAGTTAAGTAATGTGTCCCAAATGCTAGCTCTTACTCATTTCACCCTCTTGCCCCTCATTGTTCTGACATATGGATACTTTTAAAAAGTTACATACTGTGTGCATTTTACAAAAGCAAAATTAGAATTTTTAGCAATATTGAAACATAGACAACAGAAAATAATACTATATCACTCTATCATCTGATTTAACCTTAAATACATGAACTATATTATTTTTAGCATACATTTTAGGTTTAAAGGCATTTAATAATCTGACATAGCAAAGGGGATTTAAATAAATATCTTTTTGTTAAAAAACTTTAATAAAGTTTTAGTCTTTTTTTGTTTAAGGTAGTGCCCAGCTATGTTATCCAGGTTGAGAACTTGTGGGCTCAAGGGATCCAGCCTCCCAAGTAGCTGGGATTATAGGCATATGCCATCACATCCAGCTAAAGGTTTATCTATGTACTATTATGTACCACTAGTTGATTTGTATACTAAGATTTAAATATTAATAATCTGAGTTTTATTTTTTATTAATGTGGTCATCACTTTAATAAAAAGAAGTAGAGACTGTATATGTAGAACATATAGCTTTGTTGATTCTAATTTCTTGCTCAGTTTTCCCTTTTAGAATTTTGAGAAGCAAAGATAAGAAAGATATACATTTTTTAAATGTTACTCTTTCTTAAGTAGAATTAGAAAAATTACTGGTTTTGTTTACTTTTCAACAAGAATTATAAGTAGGATATTACTTTGAATGAGGCTCCAAAATTTTAAAATTAAGAGTTATTTTCTTTAAAGTTATATATATATAAGTATGTATTAACTTTTGGTGATTTTTTTTCCCCAAATGTTATATAATTTATTTATAAAATACTTAGGTCAAATTGCCTGTTTATTACTTTTGTTCAGTTAGAATAAGGCCCAGTGGCACAAAATAGGGAAAATAAAACAAAACAAGGATTTATTCTCCCACGTAAAACTCTCAAACTAGTGTGATGGCTCCGCAGTTATTAGGGATTCCTTGTTACTTTCCTCTCATCCTCATCATGTAGTTTCCATCCTCAGGTTTTCTTCATGGGTCAATATGGCTCCTAAACTCTAGCTATCATGTTAGCATTAGAGGCAGCAGGAAGAAGGAAAGACCAAAGGCAAAGTAGAGACTTTACCCTGGAATTGTGTTTTAAGGAAGGAATCTTTCCAAAAATTTCATTCAGTAAGTCCTACTTATACTATGTGGCCCCATTGAGTTACTGGGAAGTTAAATGTAGGAGTTCTTTGTTTCATTTTAAAAATCAGGGCATATTGCCACCTCCAAATAAGTGGGGTTTCTGTGTAAGGAAGAAGAATATAAATGCTTTTTCAGTCTCTCCTGCTGCCTTATCCCCTGCCTCCATTATTAGCAGGCCATAATTTGATGCCATGTGTGCTGTGCAGGTGGTTCTCACCCTGGAATGGCTTCCCCTCCAGAAGACATTTATCAGTGTTTGTAATACTCTGTTGTCACAACTGAAGGGGCTGCAAACTGCCATCTAATGGGTAGATGATGCCTAGGAGACTGAAAAATATATGATACAGATCTCCCCACCCCTATCTCTCCTGCCATAAGAAAAATATTATTATTATTAGGCCTCAAATGTCTGTATTGCTGAGATTAAAAAACCCTTCCTTATACAAATGAGGCTTTATTCACCTCATAATATGATAAGAGACATGAGATTTCACAAAATTTTAACTCATCATGTAACCATATAATAGCTGGCACTCAAACTTAAGTAGTTAAAGTGATTTTCAAATAGTATTAGTGATTCACTTTCAGAAATGAAAGTTATACCGTTGAAAATTAATCTTTATTCTACAAGTATGTGTTCATAATTATAAAATGAAGTCTTTAGTTACAGTTGATGTATTTAAATAATGTTTTCAGCTTGGGTTTCCAAGTCTTTAAGGTGTTCTTTAGTAGCTGCCCCTTCTGGGAGTATTCTGGGAGAAGTAACCCCTTCTTGTGTGCTCTAAGGAAGCTGAACGAATGCTTCAGGATGATGACGACACTGTGCACCTTCCATTTGAAGGAGGAAGTCTCCTGCAAATTCCAGTCAAGGCCCTAAAATACAGGTGAGGTGGAACTTTTGTTTTGTAAAAGTTATTATATACACATGTCAGGTGCATGAGTAAGTCATGTAATGCTTCTTTAAAGTAGTGATATCTGTTTTTAAAAAGATGATAAAATCTGTATCTTATCAACTAAAGGGAAGCTTCCTGTAGTTTGAAAAGGAAATCTCTTGGTCCTTGCCCAACCAGGTTACAGGCAGAAACGAAGAAAAAGCTGGACTTGGACCAGAGCCTTACATGAAAGCTCATGTCAAGCTAATATATTTTACTTGTCTTCTATTATTCTTTCTATCCTGGTGAAATTTTAAATCAGTACACAAGTTTCAGACTATTTCCATTTTCTTGGTAGCTTTGCTTTTTCCTTTCTACCCTTTATCAGGAATGGAGTCAGTGTGCACTGGAAAATAAAACGATTGTAATCCATATGGTAACCCTCCAGATATACCTATGTTTAGAGACCCTATAGCACTCTCTAGTTTTCAAAGGTCTGAGGGCTCATATTATGGAAAACATATTAATAGATTTTTTTTGTATAATTCATCAGTTTTTATTTTGATGAACCATTTTTTATTTAAATTTAAGGACAAAAGATGCAGAGTTTGGGAAATGCAAACTTGTACTTTTTTGGGGGGGGAGTTTTAAAAGATTAAAAACCTATAGTATATATGTACACATTGATACCTTTTCCCATATATCTATTCCATTTCTGATAAGCTATTTATAGAGAATTCAGTTTTAGAATGCACATTGGTTTCTCTCTGACCAGTTGATTAGCCTGCTTCAAAATTTTTTTTTTATTTTTAACTGTCTGATATTTAACCAAAAGAATGGATATCTGAGTTTTTCCTTTTGTCTTTTAAGTGATGAACCATAATTCTGCTTTGCTTAAAAATTGAACCTTGAGAATGCCAAGAAATGGCTAATCTGTTTATTTGCCAGAGTTTTACATCTTAAATAGTTCTGGATTACTTGCCATGAAGATCAAATGAGATAATATATGAAAGCATTTGGAAAACCTAAAGCCTTATAAAATATGAAAATAATTTATATAACAATGTAAATATATAACAATAAATTTATAGAAAAAATTTTCCATTTAGTTTTATTTTGAGGCTCAGTAAAATGTATGCTATATTGAAAAAGATTGATTTCTTCTAATGGGAAAGTTCTTACTTGAAGGAGGAAACTTCTTCAGGAATTCCTTTCTTTCATTATTTGAAATTCACAACCAAGTGAATAAATTGTTTGCTCAGCGTAGGCAAAAGTTTCAGATTGGATGGCTCTGCCATTGTGACTGGGCGCTTAAATTTTATGTACTTCTGAAAAAGAAGTCTTGGTAAAAAGTACAGCCGCCATTCCTAGAGACTTCTCAGTGACCATGTCACACTTTCTGTAATCTTGAATTTGAAACAACTTTCTGATTTAAAGTATAAACAAAGATAACACCTTTTAAGTGACTACTATTTATTATTTTTGTAACCCAGCTGCCATCACATTGTTAATTTAACATGATCTAATTTCACATTTGCATTTCTAGCTTTTTTTTTTGCATGAAACATTTCTTTTCATTAAAAAAGGACTTGCAAATATATTTCTGATAACTTCACGGTTCATGATACTTTCATATTACTTGTGCTGATACCCTTGAGCCTCAAATTAATTATTTATGGATATCATCATCATTGGATTTGGGTTCGGGAAGTCATTTTTGCAGTAACTCATAGAACCATAGAATGTGATTACATTTGTCCCTTATAATGAATGGGCATTCTTTTTTCGATACATTTGATAAAACAACACTTTTGACACAAAAATGTAAATGCCAGCTAAAAGTGATATTTATAAAGTTGTTTTTCTTTGTCAAAATATTTTCAGAGGTTTATTTTTAATTGTGAAGTGTCACCTTTTCTAATATTTTTTTTAATGATTTGTAAAGGCTATGAAAAACAAGGGTTTTTAAAAATTATTTTCCTTACATATTGTAATATTTATTTGATATTAAAATTTGTGCCAATTATAAAGGCTTTCTAATTGATTTTATGTTTTTTTTAACTCCTAAGCACATTAATTAATATATCCTTTTATATTATTTCAATAATTTACTTGTGACCAAGATGTTTGCAGGGCATCATTGCAGGAGTACTACTGATGCCCCAAATCAAATTGTGAGGCCAAGTTCATCTTACTCTTCATTTTGATTATAAAGGAAGATGTAATTCTCCATGGGAACTTTGTAATAGAACCTCCAAATTCTGATATCTTTGTAGGCCTTGGTTTAAGTGCATGGCAAGGATTTTCTCAATTTTAAGTTGATGAAAGCAAATAATGACATAGATAAAAAAGAAAGACAGTATTAATGCTTTTGCATATACTAACCGAAAAGTGTGTTTGTTCTTCAGTGTTGATCCCTCAGTTGTTAATATATCAGATGAAATGGCCAAAACTGCACAGTGGAAGGCACTTTCCATGAATACTGAGAATGCCAAAGTAACCAGATCTAACACGAGGTAGTTATAATTATTTATGCCTTTTCAAACTTGGCAGTTTTCAACTTAACGTGCTGATATTGATGCAGTAAAACCATTACATTTAACCTAATTTATATTCTTGCTTATCAAAACCACTCTTCTTTCCTTTTTACTTCTCTCCCTTCTTGCTTTCATCCATCATTTTGTTGTGACAATAATCAGATGTAGATAATGATTGTGTTTTGTAATTTCATTTTTAAATTTATAGTTGTATCATTTGAAATTAATTTGAGCTATTTTATAGTAAAATATGGAAAAATATGTAGGTCAAAACTATATAAAGAAAGATAATTACAAGAGATTAAACATTCCAATTGAATACCACCTGAGTCATGTTTTGTGATGGTCCAAGAATAAAGAAAAACGATTTCATTTTGTTTTGCTCTGCTGGTTTTTTTTTTTTTTTTTTAAGTGTATCATTTCTTCGGGTGAGGTAAATGTTTTCCCTAAAGATATTTGGAAAGAAAATTAATTCATTGATATAAAAGCATTTAGTTTCATAATGGACCATGTATTGAAACTCAGAGAATCCTTGATGTTGTTTCTTGTTATGGAACACTTTTTTCTCTTTTTGCTCTCACTTGGAGGCCTGAGACCTCAGGAATTCTTCAGGTCTCTGGAGAAATGAGGCATTGTCCTACAAGGTTGTCCTACTCATATTCAGAAAGTCTCTCTTGTATAACTTGCTGTGTTGGGTGTTGGAATATTCTGCCTGGGCTTCAGATCAAAACATTTCCAGGCATGCAAGCAGTGTAGCTATTTCTGGTTAGTTGCTATCTTTCTGAACTCTTGTCTTGTGATAAAAATTAATTAGCTTTTTCTCATTCTTTCTCTATTCTCTTTAGAACCTTTGTTGTAATTATCTCTATCTTATGTCTTTCTTTTCAGTCATTGTTTCTCAAGTCCTATCTTTCTAAGCTGAGCTGTTTCTTTCTTTTGTAAAGTTTTAAAGTTAAATTCTTTGTCATTTTGGATCATCCCGAACTCATATTCTTTTTACTGACACTTATTTTTTATATCCTGTCAGCACCTTTGGGCCAGATTGCAATTTTTTTATGATAAACGTAAAGGCCTTATAATAATATTAACATATCTTTTATACTTTTACCTTTCATTTGGATTGCTCCTCCCTTCATGAAAATAAAGAATGTCTTGGCTATGTCATTTAACAGAAAAATCTTTGGGAGCCCTCCTTTCCTTCAGACTTTTTGAATAAGGCGGCAACCCATAGTGTATTTCTGTACTTTTCAGTAAAATTTTTTTCAGAATCCTGATATTCCTGTCTTAGAATAAAAATCAATCATTTAAATCCATATACGTGGAGTCTCAGAGCGTTTGATGTTAACTTGAACACATAAGCCAAGTAGGCATGGTGGCACATGCCTATAATTCCGTCCAGCTCTGGAGGCTGAAGCAGGAGGATCATGAGTTCAAAGCCAGCCTCAACAACTTAGAGAGGCCCTAAGCAACTCAGAGACATTCTGTCTCTAAGTAAAATATAAAAAAAGGCTAGGGATGTGGCTCAGTGGTTAAGTACCCCTGAGTTTAATCCCCGGTACCCAAAACAAACAAACAAAAAGCATATATTTATGCATATAAGTAGGCGTGTTGGTCTTGTATTTGTAAACCAAATTTAGGGGCAACAGTTTTGTCAATTTGTTACCTATTGTAAGAAACTGATGCTTATATTAACAAAGATTTATATATTGCTGGATTTGTCAGTGAAGTAAATGTCAGTACTACAACTGTGTTCACACATGAAGTAAAACATAAATCAAATGTAGTCACAGACTCACTTTAAATAACTTCTCTTTAGTTATAAGAAAAATATGAATTGCAAGCAAAAACATGCAATTTTTAAAAACTTGAGGATTTTTACTGTGTTTTTTAAATTAAACTTACTGACAGTAAAAAAAAAGTAAAATTATAATAGGAAGTCATAAATTAGTAGTGTTAATGAGCATCTCAAAAGGTTTACTACAGATACTTATTGTTGGATGTTTTCAACATCCAGTCTTTGTTCTTTCAGTAATCATTTTTTCTCATTCTTTGTTTTAAACAGTCCAGAAAAACCTGTGAGTGTGACAATAAATTTTGAAGATGAACCGTCAAAGAAATACATGGATGCTGAAACTTCGTTATAGAATTAAACCAACAGGAATTATATATAGATATATATATATCTCTATATATAATGTGTGTGTATGTGTGTGTGTGTGTGTGTGTGTGTATGTCATGTCACTATATATAACAATATTGTATGTCATGCTATTTATGCATGACCATTGGGTTTTTTGAAGTGGAATCTGAAGTTTGTAATAGGCACCATGGATATTGTGTGTAATAATGAAATGGTCTCTTGGAAGTGAGGTACATGGTTCTTATTCAAATATTTATTCTGTTGGGGGAAAGTTTTTCTGTTCCGCAATAGAAAGACGTGGGGAAATGCATTCAATCTGCTTTTCTTAAATCTCTTTGTTCACAGCAGCAATTCATATCAACCTCAAGTGATACGTACTTAGTCCATATATTTATAATTTTTACTTGAGTTTCTAAAAATTTTCAGACTATTTCACTTTTGTTAGTGCTTTATAGGAAGAACAGGGTGTATGCCCATGCTATGATAAAGTACTGTGCCATGGCTTCTCCGTGCATTTCATTTATGTAGAGTCCATCATGTATCACAAGTGATGGAATTTTCTTGACCATAGAGGTCAAGCGGGAACTTTCTAGAAAGGAAACTATAGTTTTTAACCTTTATATTTTAGGAATTTTTTTTAAAGCTTAAAATTTAATATCTAGGGTTCCTTTCTGACAGTCAAGTAAAATTGCAAATGATTTGTAATAGCACCTGCACCATTGGTAACTTCATGAATTTTAGAAACTATAAAATACCAGTTTGCAGTAATTAAATTTTGCTACCTTTGTAGAAATTATTTTCTGAATAGCTGTACTTTTTAAAAATTCACAATTTCCACTCTATTCTTTACCATTGCTCTCTTAAAGTAGTTTAGTTTGTATCAGGTTCAAGTTCTTGCTTATAAGTAGTATGATTAAATAATCAGGAGTCAGAATTCTCTGGAATGGGTTTGTGATCAGTATTAATTATTAAGGCTGACCTTTTACTTTCTGTTATTCTTTCTATTGCATAGATTGTATTTAATAGGTGGTTAAACACAATTTCATTTAAAAATATTTTATTTATTTTAATTGATACGATACTTAAATATTATAAAAACATTTGAAAAGGTAATACATAGAGAGTAAATCATTAATGTAAATACTTGGTGCTCACTTGCATTTATGTTTATTATCTAAAAACAGTTGACAGATTTTACATCTTTGATATAAAGCACTGCCATATTTCTATTTTAAAAGGAAATTAGACATTTTATGTATAGCTCAGATTGATGGCATTCTTCCTATTTTGTGTTAGTGTTTGTTACTTAGTTTTTCTGAGCTGCCTTTTTAACTTCTAGAAAGTTGTTTTAGCTATCTTTTATATACTCTTAGCTCCACACAAAATAAATAAATGTTTTTCTTGTGAAGCCTGTAGGACTGGATGAATGGGGTTGTGAAACTGATTTGGCAAGAGAATAATTTACAAAATCCAAGTAAATATTGAGAAGCCATAGAAATACTGAAGATGGTGACATGAATATTAGGATGAAAAATTTAATGTAATTCCAATGTTCCCTTTATTCATTTATAATGAAAGTATAAAAGTATGAGTAATTGATCTTATAGAAGATCATGAGAAATGCCAAAAGCTGGTATTTTAGCAATTCTGAGGTGTTTAGATCCATTCTGAACTAAATAATAACTATTGTAATTTCCCCATCTGAGACTGTTTTGTCAGAGTTTATAATAGATTCAACTTCTGCCTCAGATGAGATGTTGGAAATCTAGCTGCTTTTTCTTTAGAAATTGTAGATGGCATCATTTGGTACTGCCTAAAAAGAGTTTTAGACTCTTGGCAATTGATGGAGAGTATTACCCATGGTGCTGATTATTGTTATGAGCTTCCATTTCAGTGGTTCCTTTCCATTCATAGCAGCATAGTCATTTCCAAAGTCCCGGTATCTGCTGCTATTTTTAAAAATACCCTGATGTATCTAAACTAGAGGATTTCCTCACATCATTTCCTTGTGTTTGGACATCAAAGGGTTAGCAACTGTACTTATTTTACAGGAAGTGATTTTAAAATTTAAACTGAAAACTACCTGGGATATAGTGTTTCTGTGATTTTATTTAATTATGTATAGTAATTGTCCAGTGCCAGAAAAACCATGACTTGCAAAATTCTCTGTGTTCAAAATATTTTAAGGTGTTTCTGATTCCTTATTGGTTTCTGCTTGCTTTTGACTACTTGACTTGCAAAATGATATGATATGACTACTCCTCCATTGAAGATCGAAGGTAAACTCATGTTTAAGTAATTGACTGCTTGTTTTAAGTGGTTATGGTATTTCTTCCACTTTTTGAAAATTACAATCATGGATAGCATTCATTGTAAGACAGTGAAAGATATAATTTACTATATATATTGATTTTTAAATGTTGCCTTAAATAGGTGTATATGAGCAGTGCTAATTGCTATGTACTGATTTACCTCAAGGTGCAAAATAGTTAAACCTGTACATATTCCATTTACAAAATAAATTCAAATAAACAGCCCTGCACTTTCTTAGATGCCTTGATTTTCAGAATAGAGCTTAGTGCTACTGAATACCCTGGCCATAGAGCCGCCTCAGGATATTCTTTTCTCCACCATATTTTTATTTATTTATAGATGTCTGTTTACAAAGACTATAATAAATTCTGATGTTGACCATTTGAAATTTACTTTCTTCTGATGGCTGTTTCAATCTAAAATAGCAGCTTTTGAGAAAACAATGAACTAAACTTCCTTATGATAAAAGGATGATTCTATATATTTTTTAATAATACTAGGTATGTCGAAATGAAGCACAGTCTTTCAAAAGTGTATTGAGTGAGTGTGTTGTGTGTATGTGTGTGATATTATCAATCTTAAATCTCTTAGGTTGTTTAAAGATATGGCGTACCAATGTTCATATTTGCCAAGTCTTCTGTAAAACATGTAGGATATAATTTTTATGTGCTAATGCATGTATTTATAAAGATTTGTTTACCACTCAGACTTAATAACTTTTGTTTTCTACATCCAAAAAACATTTCTGTTTCTTCCACATACTCTGTGTGAATAAAATAGCTTTCTAACTTTTTCCTTTCACAAAGGCAGGTTCAAAATTCTGTAAGAAGAAAAATGGTCTCTGAAATTGAGGTATACCACCAGAGCTTGCTAGTTAGAGGATTATGTCATGTACATGAGTTCTGTAAATGTGCTCAACAGTTGGTGAATCCTGTTTTTAAAGTGCTCAGATTTTGGATATGTAAGCCATGGATATAACATTGTAATTCAAAATGTTTATATTAAATAGCAATATTTTAAATTTATTTATGTAGATCACATCATTGTTATCTTATGCAGTGCAAATATGTGAAATGCCCTGTTGTTTATTCCAACAATTATTTATTTTTAGAAAGTAAATTTAAAAAGACTTTAAAGACATTCAAGGTTTAAAGTGGTGTTCAAATTTTAAGATTTGGCAATTTTAATGGAAAGTCTCTTTTCCAACTTTAGAAAGTAAAATAAGTGTCAATTACAGGAAAACAGTTGGAAATGGAATCATCTAAAGATTATCTTTAAAATTAAGTTTAATTAGCTCATATTTAGAGTACTTATTAAGCCCCAGTTTTTTTTTAATCATAATTTTTTGCACATTGATTGGTTTTTGTGCTGTGGCTTTTGTTGCTTTATCAAAGTTTTTGTTTTTGCAGAAGGGAGGGCATCTTCCAGTGTTTACTACATTTAAAAATTGAATTTTATTGTTCATTTGTGTAATATTTGATACCTTGGTGTAATTTCACAGTACAGTTAACAATTTTTATGACTTTTATAATTACAGTGATATTTTCTTTTATAATAAAATCCAAAGTAAATTAAACATTAAATTGTAGAACTGTTATATTTCATTTTTATGAAGTACAAGTCTCTACCCAAGTCTATAATGTGAATGATCCTGCCTTTCAAATTTGTTTCATAATTGTTAGAAGAAAACTATTTTTTTGTAGATGTTACTGAAGTTGAAAGAGCAATAAAAGTCTACTTAATTAGTTGTTGGTTATTGTCTTGACTTTGTACTCCAAGAGTGGCATAGCTTTCTCAGCTTGATACATGGGGTAGGAGAGGAAGGAAAATAAGGGGTTTCTGCCTCTTACCTCCCAGTATACTTTAGATGAAGAGAAAAAGCAGAATCAGAAAAGACACTGAAATAAATAGTGTATCCATTTTTGAAGAGCAGCATTAATCCTGATTGTTTTATGTCCCCTGAAGCTGAATTCTGGTATATTCACCTGGATTTGGCTTTCATCCCTTTTCTATGTTCCTGAAATAGGATTTTTCCCTTTTGTTTTTCTTTTTATTTTCTTTAATAAGAATACTTTCACAATACACAACCTGAAGTACTGATGTATCTTTGGGTTCACTTATTATTAAAATCAGAGAAATATTAGGTAAGGGTGCACCATATTCATTTTAAATCAAGGTTGGGAGATTTTGTCAAGTGCTGATACACTTAGTGTTCATTTTGAGGGATGTTAAGGTAGGATTGAGGTAGGGCTATACCTGAATAAATTGTCAAGGGAGCATCCTTGTGGTTAAGACAGGACTCTAGACAGTCACAGCATAGGTTCTACTGTCTCCATCACTTACTAGCTCTGTCACTTTGGGCTCTTCAGGCAATTTGTTTACAGTTCTAGGATGAAAAAGGATATGACGAGTGGGTGAAATAATATGAGGAAATAACTTGGAATATATCTGGGACAAAATTTAGCACTCAATAAATTTGATACTTAAAGCTCCATGCTGTTTGTATCCTTTTATTGCTTTATTTAATGCAGTTGAATTTTTCTTTAAGAATCTGTAGATATCACAAGGCGAAGTGACTTGCCCAAGGACATAAGATGAACTAGTGGTAGTTGTAACATAAAGACCTCTTGAATCCTAGGTCATTTATTTTCACAGCACCATTTTCTCATTGCCCGAGATGCAGCATGCTCAACTGAGAATGTTTTTGTGCCATATGAGTAGCATGTTGCATTGATTTCCTTTTCAAATTAGATCTTTGCTTTGGGAGAGAATCAATTTGATTTTGAGTCCACAGCATTTCCCGAAATACCCCCAGATTGCTCTTTCCTACCCATTTTATTTCAGTTCCTAAAGATTAGGCATCAGAAGTCTAGGAAAATCTGCACAGATTGGGAGACCTGTTCATAGATTGTTCAATGTCCAGGCAAAGACTGCAGTAGAGTGCTAAGCAATTCTTGCCACCTTGTGCCTGCAGCTTGGGGCTGGATCCTGAGCGTTCTTTGGCTGCTAGGGCAACTCTGGCAGGCGTCACCCGTCGCTATGGCGCTCTGCACGTTGCAGCATGGCCCTTCCAGATTGGCTGAGGCGCTCGGCAAGGTGAAGGAAGATGCCTCGGCATTGGTTCAGCCAGCGCCGGTTGGTGGCAAGAAGGAGGATTTGATTGAAAAACCAACGGTGCAGCGGGCTGAGGTGCTCCAGAGGTTGAGGGGACCCGGAGAGAGCTAGGGGGAGGGTGGGACCCGAAGCAGCGGGTAGCAGCAGTATCAAAGATGACGACGGTTTGGAGATTGTCCTGAAGGAGGGACCGTCCCTCCCGCGTGGTGAGTGGGGCGGGAGCAGGTGCTCCGCTGTGCCGGCGTGCGGTTTGTAGCAGGGTCTCCAGGGAGTCACTCAGGTCCGGGTGGAGCGGCCCGCAGCCTCGGGAGCCAGCTTCACTCCACGGGGGGCGGGGAAGAGAATGCGGGCTGGCTTGGGAAGGGGAGTCACGATAGCCAGTTTCCTCAAAGCAGATGGGTTTGTGTTGGACTGATGGACGGGCAGAAAGAGCCATCCACAACGTTGGATCAAGGAGTTACTCTGGTTAAATGGAGTCTGAGTGTGTCTGTTTCACTCTGCTCCCATGCCTCTGGAAGCTCAGTCTGATCTCCTTTATGAACATTCCTTTTCTGCCTTCCCTTCACATGCTGCTGCTCTTTGCCCCTGGGCTTTTTTGCTCAGTCTGGGTGAGCCCTTCCACTTGCTGTGTTTTCAGGCACCATCTCTCTGCTGATGACTAGAAAGCCTCTGCCTCCAGCCTAGCCTGCTCTCCTATGCCCCAGACTCCAAGATCCGACTGCCAGTTAGCTCCACCAACCTACATGGCATCTCGGCCCACCCCCCACCAGCCTGCTACTGCCCTGGGATTCCCTATCTTTGACCCCATCATCTGCTCAGTTCCCTAAAACCACATCCTGGGCAGCATCTGTGACAATGCCTCTTCTTCGACATCTCTCTCAATTTTTTTTATTAAGGATATACCTTCTTAATAGATGTTGAATCAGTTCCTGCATCTCCATTCTTCCTATCTAACAAATTCCACTAATCCATTGGTTACAGTATTTGACAACTGTCTCCCCCGATTTTAGTGTGTCCCTATCTAATTCATTTTTCTTCCTGTCATTAGACTGATATTTTAAAAATCAGGTTATCAGGAGCTGAGGATGTAGCTCAGTTGGTTGAGTGCTTGCCTTGCATGCACAAGGCCCAGGGTTCAATCCCCAGCACCAAAAAGCAAAACAAAAAAATCAGGGTGTCTCCCTTCCCTGCTTGAAGTCATGCAGTTATTCCCCATTACCCTAAATCTAGTCCTCAGACCTTCCTTTAGCTTGGTTGTTGCCAGAATGTGCCATGTTTTCTCCTGCCTCATTTTTTAACCTGTCATTCAAGCAGCCTGAAACAGACCCCCAAGTCCCCGCGCTACTGCTCTCATCCCCCAAGCATTTTCTGTGTGTCGCCTAATTACTTTTCTGCTTCTTCCTTTGAGCCGTGTCTGTGAAGGCAGAACTGTTTGTCTTACTTGCCATCGTTGTATCACCAGGCAAGTGACAGGTACTCCATAAATAGTCACTAAATGAATGAATCTCCAAAAAACGAGGAGTTGTTTTCTCATGACAGGTAGTTTCAGAAAAATCAGGATCACTCTGGCCAATGAAACTTTTGCTTACAAAAGAAGAATGTTCTGTTTATAGGTTTTACTCTAATTTCAAGTCCCTTGGTAGGTGGAAACTATTTCAATTCACAGTCTACAGTTTCATGCCATATGTGATGGTAGCTGTAAGATTCCATCATACATCCCATAAGATTATTAAAGAGAGAATGACAGTGCAGTATGCTTTCCAAGACCTGTGTTTTGGAGTCAATACTACAATGGTTTGAGTCCTAGCTCCCATATTTTAGCTCTGTGGCCCATAACAAGTTACTTAGTTTCTAGTCATCTTTTTCATGAGTACAATGGGCCAATCATAGCACCTACCTCATAGGATTGTTTTAAAGATGAAATGTGAATAATCTATACCAGGTGCATAGTACCTTATTGGAATTTGTGCTAATTCCATGGTCAGTTCACAAAAGGTAGAAATCTTTTGATTCTGTCAAGAGCAATTTCTCGGACCACATCATGTCATTATACCACTTGACCAAGAACTTTTGTATATGGCAACTGCTCTGATATAGGTAAGATACGCATTCATTCAGTAAGTATATATTGACCATATGGTGGGTCCAGGGCTTCATGCCAGCTCCTCAGCTGGTAGGTCAAAAGAAAGTGTAACCAGTAGAGTAATTTAGAAAGTGAAAGAAGGGTCTGGAAGTTAGTCTGCCTGTTGGAGCCAAACTTTGAGGCTGAAGGCATAGTGAACTGAATTGAGCACTTGGGTAGCAGAGAGGAGCTAGAAGTTCTTGTAGACAGTTAATAAATTAGCACTTGGGTTTTCATTTATGAACAGAACAAAGGCATCTTTCTCGCCACTGTTCTCAGGGAATTGGAGCAGAGTTCACAGGGCCCAGATTCTTTAGCCAGAGTGCCTGGGTTCAAATTCTAGCTCCTCCACTATTATAAAGTGGAGACCTCAGATGAGTTCCTTAATTTTTGCACCTGTTTCCTCACCTGTAAAAATGTAGTGGTTGTGAACACTGGATGAATTAACACAGATAGGATTCTTAGAACACTAGTGGGTACAGAGGATGTCTCACGTAAAAGTTAACTATTTGTAGTATGTTCTACTTAGGGGAAAGAAATAAGTAATCAGGGAAAAATAAAGCAGAAGGAGAGAATAGAAAATGTTAGCTTGAGGATGGTGTGTGTGGCTTGGACTTGGGAATGAGTCTTCCAGTTTTGGAAGATTCAACCTTTCAGAGGAAAGTGACCTCATGATATACCTGACAGGTATCAAGATTAAAAAAAAAAATAAACCCAAAACGTGAATATGAGCAGTATTAGCATTATTTCTCATTTAGCAAAACAATTGCTCATATTTTTATGTTTTCTCCTCAGCTAAAAGTATAACAGTTATTATAATAAAGGTCATGTACTCAGCTTATTAAATCTCATATTCAGATTATTTTTATTCGACATAGCATATTCTAGTTTCAAAGTAGTCAGCAGGGTCAGAGTGACAAAACAATAACTGGCTGGTTTGTATCAAGAAAAGAGACTGTAAAAAAAAACCTTCTATACAAATTAAAAATAATAGATAATAGAATAGATAAGGCTCAGCAACTGGAACATTGACCCTAAGCCTTCAGGAGAAAGTTACACACAGTATTTAGTGTATTTTGCCAAAAGATTGGAAGTTAATTAATTTGAAAGAAGTATGTATCTGTATGTATTAAGGAAGTTAACATTTATCTAGAAAATTCACTTAGACACACAGAGTGCTGGATAAATACCACCGATGAAAGAGGGTTGGCGTAGCATTAGAAGAACAGGGAGAGCTCTGCTTGGCTTCGAATCTCTGCCACGTACCAGTTGTGTGATCTGGACAAATGACTTAATTTCTCTGCACTGTATTTTCCTCGTTTGTCAAGCGGGTATGGTAATGGTATCCACCTTACAGATGTATTAGGACTACTGTATTAGATAATGCATGGAAAGCCCTCAGAATGGTGCTACCTAGGGTAACCACCAGGAAAGGGTTTGCTTTTATGGTTGTTATTACTAGATATGAGATCTTGGCCAACTTGCTTACATTTTTAATGCCTCAGTTTC